TGATCGTGGTGTGTTCGATACGTTGCGTACTTGGCGAGCACCTCTTCCAGGCTGATGGCCAGGCCACGTCTGGCGATGCTCTGCTCGAGGGCTGCTCTGTCGCGGAATGTGCCGGCGAAATCCAAGTATGGCTGCAGCGTCACATAGTTCTCGTTGGCTTTGTCGCCGGTTATGTAAAGTGCAGAAATATGTCGCTTCAGAAAGAAGCATTGGCTCACCACACTACGAAGTTTTAACATAGGGATGCGTTTGCTTGTTTTTGAATACAAATTTTATTTTTCACGCTCACAGTTCGCGCTCAGCTGTTAAACGCTTGCTCAGCTGCGCAAAACAGCTGTTCCCCCAACTAGGCATAACATGTAATGCACTCCATGTCTAACATTCTGTTATGGCTTTATAAAAACAGTCTGTTATATTAACATGGAGCGACTCTAAAGGAAAACCTCTTCTGTTATAGTACAATTTCTGTTTAGAATTGTTGGACTACGATCAGCTGAGCAGCCTAACATGTGCTTGTAACAGCCGTACCGTAACTGTTATAATAGTAGAGAAATACATAAGGCGGTCACCTTTGTGGCGCGCTCTAGTGGACATTTGTCGCAACAAACAACTTCCATTTTCGCAACTTTTACTCAGTTTAAAATAACAAAAATAAATATATTTTTACTATAAAATATATTTATTTATTAATTTTTAGAAATTTTCAAGTAACAACAGTGTATACAAATACAAAACAAATATTTTACAACATGAATATGAATCACATATTAGTAAATAAGACAATTTTTGAGCAAATTCATTGTTAGCTTTCAAAAGAGGTCAAACCAATGTATGTTTGTTGCTAATACTTTGTAGTTGTTGACGCAATATCCGGTATCATTTATTGCTTTCCAAGACTGCAGCAAAAGACGCAGGGGGCTTAAAATTGAGGACTTCCTTGTAGACGAGCTCCTTCCATTTTTCCAGTGTTAAATTCATGTCCTCGAAACTCTGGTCATACAAGGGCGAGGTGCTTTCATCACTCGGCTCTGCATACTTCTGCATATATGGATGAGCGAGCGCCTCCTCGGCCGTAATACGTTTATCCGCGTCCAATTCCAGCATCTTCTCCAGCAAATCAATCGCCAACGGATTGGCATTCTTAAAAAGAAACTTGAAGTCCTTGCGTTTTATGGGCGGCAATGAATTGATATAGTGGCGAGCGTTTTCGGAGGAGATCTTCTGCATGAAATCATTCGGCGGTGTGCCCAGCATTTCCATGATCAGATTGAGCTGGTGTATGTGATCTGTGCCTGGGAACAGTGTGCGCCGCGTGATTAGCTCAGCCATAATGCAACCCACCGACCAAATATCGACGGTCTGGCTATAATGCATCCAGTTGAGCATAATCTCTGGAGCACGGTACCAGCGCGTGGCCACGTAGCCTGTCATCTCGAACTCAGTTGGTCGGGCCAGACCAAAGTCCAGAATGCGTAGCTCGCAGTCCTCGTTCACCGCAATGTTGCACGGCTTCAGATCCCGGTGGATAACGCCAGCGCTATGTATGTACTTTAGACCCCGCAGTATTTGGTAGACCAGGAACTGCACATGATCATCGGACAGGTTCTGCATTTTGATAATGTTGTTCAAGTCCGCGCCCATCAAGTGAGTCACTAGGTAGACGTGCTGAAAGTCTTCCAACGTCGCGTCCGGCGGATGCGGATGAAAAATGTCCAGCAAGCCGATAACATTCTCGTGATCCATATGCTTCAATAGCATCAGCTCCCGATACGCCCGCTTGGCATGCACCGTTGATTGGAAGGGACGTGACAGCTTCTTAATGGCCACATCCATGTTGGTGCCACGGATTCTGGCCTTGCACACCTGTCCGTATGCACCAGAACCCACCGGCTGCAACTCCTGGTATATTTCTGGGACTTCCCATTCGGTGCGATTGATGTCCAATTTGTAAAATTTTTGCATTTTGCACGCGCTCATGTTAACAACGATTCTTGTGCAATGGGACTCTCCCCAGTACAAATTCGAAAATGATTAGGCTTATCTTATTTTTCAGTCGGCAAAAAAAATAACAACATTAGCAGCAACAGCCAAACACCGAATGCATATTGTTACGATTTCATGGGCGGGGTGGTACACTCATACTAATTTGAACTCAGCGCCGAATTGGAAATGCGCTACGGCTGCCAGTTGGGATTAATAGTGTTGTATATCAAATTTATGTACTCCCCAAGCTATTGATCATTCGACCATGTTCAAGGGAGTTTTTATATATTTAAAATAAATGTCAGTTAATGGTAACTGAAAAAGAAAGCGTTCAAAACTTTCGTCGTTGCTTACTTTTTCATTCAACAACAAAAGAAATCGATGAATCGATAAATCGATAAATTCGGTTCAGCAGCAGGGTTGGCATTGCCAACGCGCAAAAAATTCGAACAGCTGATACGAATGTAAACATGAGCGAAATTTTACAATAAGCGACTCTCAGCTCGCTCTTGTTGTCAACTATAATATTTGTAAAGTGGGTTGGTCTTCGCTGCATATATCTATATATATAATATTTTTCACTAAATCACAGCGTATGTTATTAAAGCGCCTGCGCGCTGCACCTTAATCTTATCAGAAGCATTAATCTAATCGGAGCATAAAAGCTGGGCTATTCGATCTGCGCCTTTTGTGTCAAGAACAGTTAGTTGTGGAAGCCGCACTAGAACGGAGTGTGCCAATTCTCTCTTCAAGTTTTAAGCTGAACATTTTGCGAAGTAAGTTGACAAATTAAAGAAAGAAAAAAAACGGTTTGTTAATTTAAAATGCAAACCATGCTGAGTAGTTCGTGAAAGTGATGCGGCCAAAGTTTCGATGTCACCTCACACTGTCTCCAGGGGGCAAACGCTGACCTTTGGAGCGGCCCTCAATCTCAAGCATGCAAACGCATTTGCCTTTTCGTAGATAGCAGCTATAAAATCATTTTACTTAAACTAAACTTTTTTCATAAACATTCGATAAGATTAAGCAGCAGGTTCAAAGTGTATTAAAGAAAAAAAAAAAACAATTTATAAAAAAAGTTAAGCGTATTCAAGGGTTTCCTTTAATACGAAAACCACCCTTGCTCTTAGATATAATTAATTTTAATTTTTTTTGATTGCAGTTCATCATGACTTCAACGTTGCTGCCTAATAATATTGTTTACGGCGGGCCCATACCCGTTAGGGTGGCGCAGGATTACCGCTCCTTGGGCCAGTATATTTTGGACAAATACATAAGCTTCGGCGACCAAACTGTGATGATTGATGCAGTCACGGGCACAGAATATACGGCCAAGTTTATGTACGAATCGATTGTGAGATTGGCTCAAATACTTCAGAAACTTGGCGTCAAGCAGAACGATGTCATCGGGCTGTCCAGCGAAAACAGCGTTGGCTTTGCCATGGCCATGTTTGCCGGATTCGCAGTGGGTGCAACTGTGGCGCCTTTAAATGTCACCTACTCCGAACGTGAGGTGGATCATGCCATAAACCTGTCGCGTCCAAAGGTTATATTCGCCTCGAAGATCACCGTTGACCGCGTTGCCAAGGTGGCCAAGAAGAATAAGTTTGTCAAGGCCATAATTGCGCTCAGCGGCAACTCCAGCAATCATCCAAATGTGCATTCTTTCACGGATTTGATGAACAACGACAAGTTCAAAACAAAACCCGACTTTACGTCGCCGGTGGCAAACAAAACCGAGGATGTCGCCCTAATTGTTTGTTCCTCGGGCACCACCGGCCTGCCCAAGGGTGTCCAGTTGACACAGTTCAATCTATTGGCCACGATCGACTCGCAGATGTAAGTTAAATGAATATATATACATATATATTTGTTTTAATTGTGCATGGCTTTTGTTTGCAGCCAGCCCACCATGATTCCTCTGAACGAGGTTACGCTGCTGACTGTCATTCCCTGGTTCCATGCTTTTGGCTGCCTCACGCTCATCACAACGGCTACCATGGGCACGCGTCTCGTCTATTTGCCCAAATTCGAAGAGAATCTGTTTCTCTCCGCCATTGAGGTAGCTATGCGCATCGAAATTAAGTCTTAAAACTATATACATATTTTGTATACTTTGTTCATTGCAGAAATACCGCGTTATGATGGCGTTCATGGTGCCACCACTTATGGTCTTCCTAGCCAAGCATCCGATTGTGGACAAGTATGATCTGTCCTCGCTGATGGTTTTGCTCTGTGGCGCAGCACCTCTCAGCCGTGAAACCGAAGATCAAATAAGGGAGCGAATTGGTGTTCCTTTCATTCGACAGGGTTACGGCCTTAGCGAGTCGACGTTAAGTGTTCTGGTGCAGACCGATGACTTTTGCAAACCAGGCAGCGTTGGCGTACTGAAGGTTGGCATCTATGCCAAGGTCATTGATCCCGATACGGGCAAACACCTGGGACCGAACGAACGGGGCGAGCTATGCTTCAAAGGCGATGGCATCATGAAGGGCTACATTGGCGATACCAAATCGACACAGACTGCCATTAAGGACGGCTGGTTGCATACCGGTGATATTGGCTACTATGACGATGCATTCGAGTTCTTCATTGTGGATCGGATTAAGGAGCTCATTAAATACAAGGGCTTCCAGGTGCCGCCGGCCGAAATCGAAGCACTCTTGCTAACCAACGATAAGATTAAAGACGCTGCCGTTATTGGCAAACCCGATGAGGCGGCGGGCGAACTGCCCATGGCGTTTGTGGTCAAGCAGGCGAATGTCCAGCTTACCGAGGAGGATGTGATCAATTTTGTGCACGAGCGCGCCTCACCGGCCAAACGCCTGCGCGGCGGCGTACTCTTCGTGGACGAGATACCCAAAAATCCCAGTGGCAAAATATTGCGACGTGTCCTGCGCGACATGCTCAAGAAGCCAAAATCGAAATTGTAAACCGTGTCCATGAGCCATATATAATGCTATTAAGCCCAGTGAACATTTGATGTGCGACTAAGCAAATAATATTGTACAAAGAAAAACTTTTCCATGCGTACGCTTTATTATTACTAAACTTTGTTCTTATCGTTTTATTTCGTTTTATAAACTACCAACTGGTTGGATTGTGTTTATATATATATATAGATACTTGTCTGTATTTGGCTTTTTAGAGTATTGTATGATGTAATTTAAATCTAAATAAAAACTATTTCCATACATACACACAGATATTCGGCATCGTGTTGCTAATATACACACTCTGATCCATTGCAGTTCATGAAATTCAACTATATATCGACGTGTTAGTTACATTTGATCTCTGTCTGAGCTATCAATAACAAGATACTTAGTTATATAAACAACTACAGCATAGTATATGTAAGTACGACCAACTGTTGTAACAAACATTCGTAAAATTTGTTTTTGTTTTTGTTTGGTTTCATATTGTTTCGGTTCCGGTTGCCATTTGTCATTTATGTATAATTGAATTATCCATTTTATATGTATATATATTTTTTAAATATTTAACTACATGTTTTGTGGCTTGTAAATAGGTTTTCCTAATTAACATTTTGGAAAAAAATGTTTCACACGAGTTTTTTCTTTCTATCTCTCACTGGGTTTTGAGGCGCAGATTCATATTGTGTTCAGTAAATATAGAGCTATATATATATATATATATATGGTTGTATGAGTTCTATAGCATTAGTTCACTAATTATTGTGTATGAAACCTTAAATGTAAGAGAAATGCTTTTGGTTTCTATAACGGAAAGATCGTATTTTGTGTAAAATATGTCTAACGCTTCACTGTGCCACGTTCCTAACGTAGTTCTTTGTTGCAATTTTAATCGACTTGGTGCTTGACTTACAATTAAACCTAGTTTGAAAAATTAGTTAAATAAATTCAGTTGTTCATTTCGTTAGTTATTACTTAAGTATATCAAAGAAATGGTGCTGATTTAAATTAGTTATTTACCCCCCTGCCCTCCCCCTCTCTCTTTCATTTTGGCACAATTTTGACAACGAATTTTTTGAGACTGATTGTCAGTTGTGAGCAAAATAATATTATATTTGAGTCAGTGTGTGTGTGTGTGTGTGTGTGTGTAGGTGTGTGTAAATATTGTTAAAATGATGTTTTGGTCCCCGGGACCAAGTCAACAGACCTAATAAGTGCATGCGGATTGCTTGGAAATGAATATAATTGATATAAAAACTTGAGATCCCATAACTGACCGCACACTAACCAAACCAAGGCGCAATTATGCAGCAAATTCAATGATCAGACAATTATCTCCATGCGATTTGCCTTGCGCGTGACTTTTGGCGGCCCTTGTGCCAAATCCGATAAGCCGCCGTATTTGAATGAGAAGATGACCGTCTGCTGTCCAAAGTTTGCCTCAAATCTGCGTGAAGAAAATTTAAATTTAAATTTAATTACATAGCTATTTGTCAATAAAGCCTCGACTACTCACTCAGTGCTTATATGTATCTCTGGCGGCTTGCCCGTGGCATTTTGTATGACCAGAAACATTTTGGTAACAATTTCGATGACATGGCCCGTTTGAAACACAAAATCCCCCTTCTTTCGACCAAATTCAGACTGAATAGAAGTGAAATTTCATTAGCCAGGTTAAAAATTAAGTCTCGTTTTGAGTTACCGCTTTCACGTGAAACACGGCAATGTCATCCAGATAAGGGCTCAGGGACATGCGATAAATCTCCGAGGCAGGCACTCGATACTTGATTTGAAGCGTGCGCTGGTCCAGCAGAAGCAGCGATGATGTGGACAGCACCAGCAAAATTGGCACAAACTGCAAGTTCAAAAGATATAGCATAAATATATTGGGTAAAGAAGAGGTATGGCAAGGAATATCCAACTAAGAGATAGTCTGTAACCAGCACAAACTTGCTTCCCTGTGCTCCTCTTAGTACCATTCCAAGCAGGATTCTAGGTGGCTAACATACCTTGCCACTGGAGCGCGCTATCTTGTTAATGATGTCTGCAAATACCACATACTGATCATTGGTCTCGGCACAAATCTTCTTCCACTGCTGATTGTGGCGCAGACGCACATAGTCGCCCACAAAGGGATGAGCCACGCTGCAAATTAAAAATGCATTTCAATTGGAAAAGCTTTGACATGTTTGAGTGAGTAGATATGGACAGACCTGCGCGCATAGGATGCCTTGCGATCCTTGAATATAATGCTGGCAGTGACCTTTTCTCGCATGCGATTGCGAGCCGTTTGATCGAACGAGTTGCGATATATGTAGCACTTCCAGCGATGATAGATGGCGCGCAGCAGACGCGATGCATCCGCCAGAAAGCCAGGCGCCGCTGGCCATTCCAAGGAAAGCGGACTCAGTGTGTTCGGCGGCAGTCGCAAGGGAATCGTGAGCAGATACTGTCGTATCTTCCACTGGTGATAGTTACGCGCAATGACATCGACGGCCCATTTGACTTGGCGCTTGTACTTCAACGAACGATATTCCTCGCGTGCCTGCCGATATTTATCAAACAGACAATAAGTATTTATTCATTAATTGGGTTGCTGGGTTAGTGGATGGGTGGATGGGTGGTTGTGAGTGGGAATAAGAACATGCAATGCTTACGACACGATATAAACTCCACAAGTGCCTACGGCCCGTGAAGGGAATGCCGAAACGGCACTCCTACATATATAAAAACAAAAAATCATATATAGAAATATGTACAACAAATTGTGTTAGGCATGCAAATGCTGCAGTGCAGCAACTACTTACACGCCACGTGCGCCACGCACTCGAGATGACCATTTGGCTGTGGCGCATGCGCCTATAACGCTTTCTGGCATGATACATACGAAACATCTTCTGTATGAGCACGGCCAGCTCGGAGATGCGCAGGCGGCGAAACTGTTCCAGCTCGTAGACGGTCCGTGGACTCCGCACGAACACATTCTTGGTGCCGAGCGTAAACTCAGCCGACGGCAGCGGCAGATTACGTATGATCAGAGCAATGCCCTCCACCTGGCTGCCGCCGTGAAAATGCGGCCAGGTCAAACTGTTGAGCAGCTTGTAGCGTTGAAAGAACTTGACATGCGGCAAATGGTAGCAGTGTCCAGTGCGACAGAGATGCACCAGCGGCATAAGCGACATGTAGCGCACCTGATGCTGCACCAAGGCCAAATCAAACTGATGCGACTGCTTGCATTCGTTGGGCTTAATGCAGAACACATAATGGGCGCGACGATGCTTCACAATGGCCAACAATGTTTGGAGCTGCGTGCGTATGTTGGTGCTGAGCGTTGTTGGCTTTTTGCTGGCCTGCCGGCGCGGATTTCCCTCCGGGAATAGGCTCTGCACCAGCGTTAGTTGGCTCTGATAAAAGGCGGAGCTTATATATTTCGGCAGCATGTCCGAGTTCTTTTCCAAAAACCGATGTATTGAATAGTTAACAACGTTGGCAAAGTGGCGAATCCTTTGGATTGAAATATATAAATGTTTAGTTACGCTCTAGCTATGCTGGAATGGACTTACTGAAAGCACATGGAATTGCTGCCGCTAGTCATGAAATTGGGATGCCCTGCGCAGCATTGCTGTATGCGCAGCAGCAGTGATTCGTTGTTGTTCAGATGGGGTTCGTTGATTAGACTTAAAATGCCATAGCTGGGCTTATCGATCAGTTCGCATATGGACTCGTTGTCAAAGTAATCGATGCGCGACCAATCCAAGCCCTCCCGCAAATACAGCTCCTGCTCCGAGCGCAATACATTAAACACAAAGTTCTGAGAAGGAAGAAACAAGACGTTATCATAATTGCCAAATATTGTGTCACATTTCTGACACTTGCCTGATGGATTTTTTCGGCACTGTAGTTAATAGCAAACTGCTCGAAGGAATTGTGATCCAGCACCTCAAAGCCATAAAAGTCGAGCAGGGCAAGATTCTTTTCACGCTGCGTGGACTTCATTGTCTCATTGATCTTATTGACCAGCCAGGTAAATAGGCGACTGTAGAGCGTACGGCAGAGCGTGTTCCGATTGCTGGCCGCCTGCCTGGCATCCATTTCACAGCCAACATCCTCCTGTGTGCTGCTCGTGCTGTTCGCTCTCGTCAGGCAATTGATTAAAATTTGAGCTTCTAAATTGAGCAGTTGCGCTGTTTCTTGCACTTCTACAATAACAAGATCTTAAAATTGGTTTCCTTTAGCATGGATGTGGGACATACCATAGACATTGGAAACCTGACAGCCTTCGGTGCCATCAATGTTGGTCACAGGCACAAACATGAAGTTGCCCAGCTTCAGGACCACGGCAATAACCCGAAAAATAGAGTTAGTCTCATCACAGCTCAAACCAAGCACGTCCAGAGAGCGCTGTAAATGTCATCAATTTGTTGACTTTGCTTTGATAATAATAATAACAATTACAACTGACCTTTGTGTAATGAAAATTGGCACGATCCTCTTCCATGGCAGTTGTATTACGCAGCAGTTCATACTTTTCCACATTGCGAAAGAGCTTCAGAGATTCTTTAAGACAATTATTAGTTAATTAAATAGGATTTGTAATTAGGAACAAACTAACTTAGTAACTGGAGATCCGCACCCAAAAGCAATTGATAAAATATGTGAAAATTGCGCTCGCCAATTACAGTATCCGTGATGCGAGTCTAAATAAAGATCATAAAATAAGAGAAAATACAGAAAAGTCAATATATTACTGATAGCTGATATATCAATCAATTCAAACCTTTTCCAACATATCTTATGTGAGTTAGACATGGAAACAATTTCATAGTAATGTTTTTTAACACATTTGAACAGTTTAAATAGCAATTTAAGAATTTCATCTTTAGTTACTTACAGTGGGTTATGTGAACACCCATGGGATCTCCCTTGAAGTCAATTTCAATGTCAAACAGTTTGCCCTGGAAGCATTAAGTAACCATATATTAGTATTTACTATCAGCGGGGTAAAATAAATTACTTACATATCTGCTGGAGTTGTTGTTCTTTAGTGTGCAGGCATTGCCCATGGCCTCCAGGAAGACATCTGCGCAGGTGACGCACTCTCGCAGCCGCTGGCTGGGCGACTTGTGACGTCGATGCAACGAGGAGCTAGCCGAGGGAGTGGGCGAAACATTGGTGCTACCGAGCACTTTGCTCAGCTTGTGTGCATCGTACAGCGATATACGTTGCGTGGAGCCCATGGACAACTGTCGCTCCGATTGGCTTTCGGTTGACTGCTGTCGCACTAGATTTGAACAGCTACCGCGTTGAGGTTGCTGGAGTTGATTGGCAGTGGACAGGCGGCTATTGCTGCCCCGCAGCAATATCAGAGCGGCGTCGCGCTCCTCCTTCTCCAGGCTTTGGGCGCGTGTGCATTTGCTGTGGCCGCACTGACGGCAGCCGCCGTGCAAGTACTTGGGCGACGTGCTGGAAGAGCCCGTTCTTGAGGGCGTCCCGGCCAGTGGCCCATAAGTGGCAGTGCAGGTGTTTACTTGTGTCTGTTGATGCTTGAAGCATGATTTCGTTGGATGCAAATGTCCATGCGAAGCGGCTGATTCCAGCAGCGTGCTGATATTCTCAGTGCTTTTGTGATGCGAAAAATCAAAGTCAACAATTTTTTCACGCATATTGCGCCTGGCTTGGCGCTCGATGCTCTCGGAACGCATTCGCGAGCGCTGTGTCGGACCTGGCCCCGGACCCGGAACCGGTGACGGCGACTGGCGACGTGAATTGGATGTGCTGCCTTGACTGGATGCGGAAGCTGCGTTGTTTTTGCATATGATAAAATTGGCTGTGCCAGAGCAGCTGCTCGAGGCACGTCGATGGGCATGCATGCCCATGCCACTCGTTGAGCTGCCCGAGGACTGTTTGCGTAGTTCATTTGGGTTGCCAGTGCAAAGCGCACGATCCTGTATGTGTGTAAGAAAATTGACAATCATTTTAAAGGTCTCCGTTTTGCCAGCGCCTCCTTCGCCAGTGAGCAGCACGCACTGATCCTCGCTCTGATCCTTAAGAGACTGATAAGCCAAATTGGTAAGCCCATAGCTGTGTCAAGGATTATACGATAATATTAGATACTTTTAAAAGTATAGCAAGGCACTTACATGTGTGGTGGCAGCTGAAAAATGCCTTTATTGCCATAGTTGCGTATATTTTCCAACGAATGCTCAGATATGTGATGATATGGATTCAAAGCCACAACAGAAGTTCCAATGTAGGTCTAAAAGCGAGACATCAAATTGTGATCAAAGGTGATTCTCAGGATAAAAACTGCATTACTTACATATATATGATCGCGCTTATAACGCTGATGTATGTTGCTTATGAAGCTATCCTCGGACAGGTTTTCCAGCAGAACTGAGTCCCAGGTGCCAATCTCCTGTTCCATTTTGCCCTGTCCAAGCCCTTGCAACGTGTACGGCAAAAACAACAACAACGACAACAACAACAAATGCAAATGCAGAGCATAACATTTGAATTTATCAACTGCAACTGCAAAGACAACCAAGAAACATTACAAATGTGGCATAATTGCATAAATTATCATAAACACAATTGTGTTTTGATTTTCTGATTGAATTATTGATTTTAATTTTCAGCCTCTGCGAAGGCAGCAACAGTGTGTAATACATGTACATAGGCTTTTCGATTTATTAACTATTGCCGCCTTTGACTTTGATTAGTTAAATACTATGTTACTTGGCCAACATTCATCACATTGATATGCATTTATTTGGAACATTTTATCACTGTAACAGCTTTGTTTACCTTTTCGCACAATATTTGGGCATTTTGTAGCGAAATGCAATGCACAACGGTACTTACGTACCTACGTAATGGCAAAGTCAGCTACGTAACGGAAAAGCGACACGTAACGCTAAAAGGAGCAAATGAACTGTGGACGCAAAAAGAGCTAACTTAACATGTGTCTTGTAAAAAACTACATTCGAATATTAAGTAACAGCTGCAGTAGTAAGAGCAAGAGCAATCAGCTGTAGTATATGAACAGCTGATTACAACTGTTCGGGAATTTATTGTGAATTTGCCAAATTATATACAAAATTAATTTTAATCTAATACAAGAAAAAAAAGACCTTTATAACATTGTTATAATAAAGTTGAACGTCTCTTGAAATATAATTTTTCTGAATTTGCCGCCAATGAGTTTTACTTAGAAAAAGTGACCAGAGGTTATTCAAAATTTGACCAATTCAAGATTCCGTCGTTTTCATTGAATTTTGACATTTTTAGGGTTATTTTTGCTCTTTATTGTTGCTGCAGAACAGAACAATATACTGTCCCGGTCGAGCGACTTGAAGTAAACAAAGACCGTAAAAATTTTTGCCGAAATAAATGTTAAAGATGACCACAGATGAGCGTAATTTTAGGTCTAGTTATTATGAAAAAGTTGGCTGTTTTAGCGTTGAAGAAAAGAAATCACTCGATAAACTACTACAGGATGATATACGCAATCTGGCCAAGCTGAAGCACTTCGTATATACCTATACGGTCCCAGCACAGCAGCGTAGTTTGCTCTGGAGCCTGATAATGGGTATAATGCCACTTCACAAAAGCAATACTGAATATGTTCGGGAACAACGCCGCCAGGTCTACGAGGATTTGCTACGCGCCGTGACTGTAATGCGTTGCGTAGACCAGGACTCATCTAAGTCCAGAGATTTGGTCATGCATAAAATGTGGTTACTGGAAAACAATCGGTTGTTGCATAGCAGTGTTCGAGCCGGAGCTCAGGCAGATGACAATCATTTCGTTGAAATTGTGCGCACACTACTTGACATATTTGACGATGAGGTGGACACGTACTGGATAGCCAAGGAGTTTTACCAGTACACGCGTGACCTGAAGAAGGAATGTGGCAAACTAAAGGAATTGACCCAAATACTACTCAAGCGCGAAGACATTGGATTATTTTAGTAGGTAGCATATATTGCAGACAATTGTTTTTTATTTAAATCAGTTTTTTGATTTCAGTCGCTTAGAACAGTTTGGTCTATTTGATGTCAACTCGAAGCTCTTGGAGAACTGGTATATAACTTGCTTCGCCGGGGTAATTTGTGAAACTATGCTAGTCAAAATTTGGGACAAGGTATGCGGTGGCGCCAAGAAGATAGTCGTATTCCTCTTTCTGGAGCTGGTAAAAGACATCAAGTCTTTGATATTCGATCTTAGCTCTCAGGAGGAACTAAAAGCATTGATCGAAACGGTATGAATCATACATATTACATTTTAAAGGTACTTGAACGTCGCCTATTTTCCAGGTCAAAGATAAGGATGGGGTCATTGTAAACAAAGCCATCAAATCTTGGCACAGCAATAACAGTGAGGTGGAATACGCGCATTGAGTAGCACTAAAAAAATGTATGTACTAGAAGTATAATTGTATTGAATAGACAAGTAAAAACGTTTAGGTACTAAATATATTTAAAGACCACGTCCTTCTTGTCGGCCACCGTTTGGAACTCCAGAGTGACGGGGCATTGCATCCAATAGGAGAGCAGCTCTTCCGTGTAGCCAATAAGGAAGTACATTTTGCGGGGGCTAATCGCCTGTCGTATGATGGCAGCGATGCGTATTGTATTGTGTTGTCGCTTGATAATGATTTCGGAACAGACAAGCGCATGCCAGGTGCCAGTTATAAACTTGCGAATGAAGACATCCTCAATTGCTGTCTGAGATGGACGCAAGGCATCCTTAAGAGTGGCTAAAAAATGTTTGTTTAAGAAATTATATAAAATTCAATAAAAGAAAATGCAGCGCACATACATGTGTTCCAAGAGTTCCACGTCTTGCGATGTCCAATAAAATGCGGTGGATTGGCCATCTCGTAGGTGAGCGGTCGATCCCGTTTTACGGTTATGCGGTAACGTCCGGACTGCACGCGACAGCAAACTGCGCTGGTGTGCAATGCTGATTTGTTGCTCAGGCTGAGCTGTGCCTCAGCCAGCGGCAATATTTGCGTAGTCACCTAAAAAATGCAACACGAATAACGTTTAACAGATATTTATTATTTGTTTTATTTACCTTTTTCAAGAAATTCATTATTTTCTACGACAAACTCAACGCGGCGAAGCAGCTGTGTGACCAGCTGTTATGCGTGACGTAACGTAACATCAACTAGTGATGGTAGATTGTCACAATGTTTGATAGAACATTACGATATGTTAGATGCACTAAATGACCATATTAATTGTGACGTCATAATTGTAAATCCATATTAAATCCGCTAAGATGGAGCTTAAAATAATTCTGTTTAATGTATTTTGGTTGTCCGAAGATCTTTGTTATATTAAGATTAAGGAGAAGAAGAAGAAATTCTGTATATCTAAGTTAATTATTCAAGTTATAGAAATTAAGCAAAATTAGATAGTTTACTTCATCCCTTGAACGTTAATGCATTGCAACCGAAATCGGTGTGTGCACTACCTTGTAGTTTCTTTTACCATGAAATGAATGCAACTATCGATTACTTGTTGCTTTTCAAACCCGATACGAGTGTAACAGCAGCATCCAAACAAAGGCAGCTGCTTCTGCGCTGTAGGTTATTTTTACCTAGCCATTATGAAGTACCCCACAACATAGCACATGTCGGCTACCTGCTTGTTAACAGTGCCTCAAAGGACGGGCAAGTAATATTTCCTGGAATACGCTTAGGTACAAAGCTACAGTGACTGAGAGAGTCTTAGCGACAGCAAAATCAATAAAGTGGAAATCAATCGTCAACATGACGCTGAACGAGAGCGACGCTCACAAGCAACTGGAGCTAACGCGTAACTTTTTGGAGTTATCACGAAATGCGGACACCTGCGCCGCACTGCGCAGCTCCGACTGCATTCAACTATTGGTGAAAATTCTGCATGCCAATGACGATGGGGCCGTCGCGGGTGGAGCCGCGCGTAAGAACGCCAGCCAAGCCCTGCATAACATTGTGCACGGGAATCAGCGGGAGGTGAAGGTGCTGCGCTTGCTGGATCAAATACACGATTATAGTTGTAATTTTTTGCGCACGCAACTGCAAAGCGGCGGCGAATCAATTGCCGACGATGAGGAGCGTCATCCATTGGCGGCCATGAAGCTGCTGATGAAGGCCAGCTTCGATGAGGAACATCGCCAGACCATGTGCGAGTTGGGCGCCCTAAAAGCCATACCAAATCTGGTGCATCTGGATCATGCCGTGCACGGCCCGGCTGCGGGCAGAGATCAATGCAATTTACTGCGACGCTATGCGCTCATGACGCTTACGAATCTCACCTGTGGCGAGGAGAACAACAAGTCGCTGCTCTGCGGCCAGAAGCAGTTCATGGAAGCGCTGGTAGCGCAGCTCGACTCAAATGCAGCCGCAGATGTCGATGATCTGCTGCAGGCGACGGCCAGCGTTTTGCGCAATCTCTCGTGGCGCGCGGACAAGCACCTGAAGACCATATTCAATGAGCTTGGCACGGTGACAGCCCTCGCCTTGGCCGCCATGCACAACAAGAGTGAGAACACTTTGAAGGCCATTCTTTCGGCTCTGTGGAACCTGTCGGCGCACTGCAGCACCAACAAGGCGGAGTTCTGTGCTGTCGATGGCGCCTTGGGGTTTCTTGTGCAAATGCTCAGCTACGAGGGACCCAGCAAAACGCTGAAGATTGTCGAGAATGCCGGCGGCATATTGCGCAACGTGTCCAGCCACATAGCTGTCTGTGAATCGTATCGCCAGATCCTGCGGGAGCACAACTGCCTGGCCATACTCCTGCAACAGCTGAAGTCGGACAACCAGACGGTTGTGAGCAATTCCTGCGGCACGCTCTGGAATCTGTCCGCACGCTGTCCCCAGGATCAACAGTTTCTTATCGATCACAATGCCATTCCACTGTTGCGTGCTCTCGCCAGCTCGAAGAATCCCATGGTAGCTGAGGGCAGCGCATCTGCGCTCAAGAACCTGGTGAATTATCGCAACGCCCTTGAGCTAGCAACCAACAACGAGCTGCCACCGAAGGAGCTGGACGGGCATGCGGGCACGCTGCCACGACGTTACAGCTCCATGCGTCTTAGCAGCAATCCCACGGGTTCACTGAAGAAGATGCGCCCCGGCAATGCGAGCAGCAGTAGCAACGGGAGCAATACGTTGCCACGCAAATGCGAAAGCCGCGAGTCAATCTATTCCGGCAAATCCGACTCCGATTCCACAAAATACTCCACCAAATCCGACAGCGCCTTCGAGCAGCGCAAACTGGGCGCGGCCACGGTGAAGAGCCATTACGGCACGCCCACGGAGGAGCAGCCCATTGACTACTCGATGAAGTACAGCTACAGCGAGCACAAGCCGGCAAAGGCCAGTTTCGACAACTCCATCGACCTGGATCAGCCCACAGATTTCAGTGCGCGGTACAAGGAAAGGCGCTCCGCGCAAGCTGCGCAGCCGCAGCCAGCGGCGTGCGAGGACAGGCAGCGGGGCAGCAACGAGATACTGCTCATACTAGACGAAACTGGCAGCCCCGCTGCTCTGCCGCTTGCCAAGTCGGCGTCGGCTTGCGATTTGAGCAGCGATCAGGTCGAGCGTCCCAAGACGCTCAACTTGCGCAGCAATGCGCTGGAGAATCTGGCAGCCGTTAAGCCCGATGGCTGTTTGCACACGCCCGAGCCGGAGCCCGGCGAGCGTCCAATCAATTACTGTGAGGAGGGCACGCCCGGCAGCTTCAGTCGCTTCGATTCGCTCAACAGCCTCACGGAGGGAGCCCCGAAGCAGCCGGATGTTGTGCCCAAGTCAGCCAACGCACCACATCAACCTGTCCCAGCAACTCCATTGCTTGCAACTAACAACAACAACAATAGCAACAGCCAGGCCATTGACTCTGCACTGGAGACACCGCTGATGTTCTCCAGACACAGCTCCATGGATTCACTGGTGAATGATGAGACCATTGGCTGTGATGACAACGTTTCGGTAATTAGTGAATACAGTCGCATGCAAAGCGGCGTCATCTCACCCTCGGAGCTGCCGGATTCACCCACGCAGAGCATGCCGCAGTCGCCGCGCCGTGAACGCAAGATTGAGACATTGCATCTTAGTGCCATCGGGAACGGTAATTCCAATGGAAATGATCTTAATGGCAACGATGCGCCGCGCAGCTACTGCACCGAGGACACGCCTGCGCTGCTGTCGAAGGCGGGCAGCAACAGCAATCTCTCGGTGCTCTCGATAGCCTCCACGGCAAATGACCAGAATGCCAATGAGCCGATGCCACAAGTCCAGGCTAATGAGGATGCCATTTCCAAGATGCGCTGCGGCGGCAGCGCCCTGCCCAGTTATCTGCCCGTAACGGATGAGATGAATAAGTACTACGTAGAGGACAGTCCTTGCAATTTCTCCGTGATCTCTGGACTCTCCAGTTTGACCGTGGGCTCTGCGCAAGTGGGCCCGGCGCGTGCACTGAAGCCGCCGCAGCTGTTGCCTAGGAATGCGGAGTTGGCGCCCAAGTTGCCGCCACGACGAAGTGCAGCCCATGTGGAGGCAGAGCCGCGCCAGCTGCCCAAACGCAGCGATTCGCTCAGCTCATTGTCAATGGATTCGGACGATGACTGCAATCTGCTGAGTCAGGTAAGTGCGCTCTTAGCAAATCTTCTATGAATGCTGTCACATAATCTCGTTACTTTTCAGGCCATTGCCGCCGGCAGCTGCAGACCTCAGCCTAGCGGCGCCAGTGCCAGCACTAGCTCGAGTCTCACGAACACGCTGCCCAAGCCAAGCAACCACAGACGACAGACAATTGCTGGCGCCAAGACTGACTACAGCTCCGACGATTCGCTAGACGATGGCCAGTCCAAGTCATTGTTCGAGCAGTGCATTTTGAGTGGCATGCACAAGTCCAGCGATAACTTGGAGAGCGAACGCAATGATCCGCCCAGCGATCGATTTGTTAGCAATCAGGTGCGCCAGATTGAGTCCATGCTGGCCACCGTACGGCCGACGCCGCCGCGATCAGCCTCGGGTAGCCGGCAGCGTCAGCACCATCACTGGGTCTAACCAAATTAAAGTGTTTGCAGAATTATGAGTTGCAGTTGGTTGGTCGTTTCTTTTTAAATCTTTTCTAATGTAATGTACACACACTGCAATAATATTCTTACGGTCTCAATTTGTCTATAGTTCAGATTAAAAATTTTCACTTAAATTTAACAATTGCCCGTTTGTCTGTTGCCCGTTGCGTCGTTGTTGTTTTGCCTAATCCACAATTTTCAAAAAAATGAACATTCTAACAAAAACCGGGTAGTCTAGATAACGTATGAACAAGTATCGTCGTAATGGGTACACATTCAATATAAATTAACTGTAAAAGGACTTGAAACTTGTCAGCTGCTGCTTGTAACATGATGTTTTGGTAGACTATGCCTAGGTTTGGTTGCATTTATTGTTGCTGTTGCTGTTGCAGTTGGAGCTCTCGTTTTTCAGTAGAAGCGTTTTCGCGCATTGCGATCCTTGAAATACGATATGGCGAAAATAGCCACGCCCGCCGTCACCAGCACTACGAATAGCAGTATGAAAAAGATCTTGGCATTCGACATTCCTGGCTTCGGATCATCTTTGTGCTCTCGCGGCGCTTCAAATGTTTTGGCATTTGGAATAATGTTGCTGCGCTGCAAGATCTCCTCATGCTGCAATCAAAGAAAAGTAAATCCTCTTAATAGACTGCCTGCAGTCTTATCCTATATGCGTACTTACACTGATATTTGTGTCAATATCGAAGAACTTGAAGGTATGAATGTCATGGTTATCGGACAAATCGCCCGTTGTTGCTGACATGCCAAAGTAATAGCCTGTGGGCAGCTCCACATTGTTTACCACAAAGCAGTTTTTCCACTCGTTTCGATTCTCGAGATCCGTCGAAACGGACAACACATCGTTCTCATATCGGATGCTAATAAACGTGTCGTAATCCACATTACGGAAGCGCACTTCACAGCCGGCCAGTTGGGTATGGGTGCCATCTCGGTCGTGATCATAACTCCAGGTACCGTTATTGACCATAGCGCTCAAATAGGGATGTTGATGCTGAATGCAAAGAGGGAAGGTTTCAGTGATAATATTGCCATAGCTGGACATGGCACTTACATTATGCGGTCCGTTGTGATTGCTGTAGGTGTCCAGTATAATGGCCAGCCCAGAGAAATGATCTTTGCTGCCAAAAACAGGACCTGTTTGCATCCGATCCTTTGTATACCAAATGGCGAATCCGTCGCCAAACAGCTCATTGCCCTTGCCATGTACTTTGAACCCAACGTGAACCTCCCAATTACGTCCCATGATGGGCTGCGATAGATATAAATTTGCAACAATTATTTAATAAATACAATTTCCATGCCCGCATACCGAGTAGTTCCACAGTGCGCCGCTCTTTGATTGCAAATCCGGTGTCAGTCTTATGTAGTTACTGGTGACCATTGTGTTGCCCAGAAAATCCCAGTGGGGTAGTATAACGCCAACGCCTGGAATGGATAACGAATCGTGTCGTGTTTATGGCATGCCTCTGGCATGCATCATAGTGTTATCTTACCTTGAAATGGACGCACTAGACTGTGTTCCCGCTTCATATACTCATTGTTTTCGGAGCCAGTCACTAGCTCCAAAGCCAACAGAGTGCCGAAAAATGCCAGGATCCAATTTGTGTTTGTGTGCGTCATTTTGGCATGCGTTGGCGTCTACTCTACGAAAATTTGGTTTAAGCTCAGGCGAATATTTCTCGCTTTTTCGGTGCTGATGCCGGTTTGATGAGTGGTTGCTTTTTGCTAGTTGTTGGCACTATCGATAGTCTCTATTGTTCCATATACCGATAGTTTTTGATTTGATGATTAACAAACACTAAAACTGTTTATCAAAAATCACATTGCGAATATTTTAGGCATCGATTATTATTTTAACTTTTTTATTGTACCTGTTTTCTATTTTTAATTAAATTTAATAGTAAATTTTAAAAATTATGTGAAGGCACTTCTACTATATCGATATTTGGCAAACGATATATTTATGTATATTACAACACTAAACTTGGTAGCTGTTATATTCAGCATTGCCAGTGCACACTTTAAAATGTACCCGCCAAAAATAATAATTACACGAAACTGACTCAACGTTTAACATACAAATTGCCGCTGTTGACAAGTAAACAAATAGTAAACCTCTTCCCTATCGAAAGTAGTTAAGCGTCTAGTTTCGGCAACATAATTTACCACGCATATGCAACCTCGCCGCTAACCCGTTTCAATTAAATCCCATGACTGTAACAGCGACAGCGCTGTCAGTTTGTCAAACTTACGTTATGCGTGGTTGTTGTTGCTGCAACGGCATATTACATACGCATATTCGCGCCTTCAATTGACGCCTAATGGAAAACCAAAAACCAGTTCCAGCATCAAGAGTTTTCTTCCTTGCCAACCGCTGAAGCATGCGTTCACACTCACAGACCTGCGGCGCACTGTTTCGAGCATTGTCAAGGTCGATGTCGTGAGAATAAAAGCGAAACACTTCATAAACATGCATGCATGTGTATGTGCTTATGTGTGTGTGTGCATATATAATGCAAATCGAATTGAAATTGGACCGGAACTTTGGAATGCTAAACATTCGAACTTGCGCTCGCTTTTCATAATTCTCTATGCACATTTGGGCACAATTAGCTAATTGGCGACCGCGCAGTGCAATAACTGTTAAATATTGTCAACCGTTTAAAGCAGCATCAGCCTTAGCAACGCTTCCTCAACACGGCGCTAATTGGCATATAACGTATCTAATTATATCAGAATATAAGTGCTGCATCGTCATACGCTTAATTATTAACCCAGGAAGGTCATTGAATCGCATCGACAACTTAGGGAATAAAGTGAATGCCGAAAAAGGTAATCCGAATTTGTTAAATCAAAAATAAATGTTATAAATTTTACAATTGACCTGGAGTTTGAGTGCAATACACGATAATCAATATAACAAGTGGTAATACCTTATCAGAGGAGAATTTACTTTTGGCATGGATTATGAAGTGATAGAAGTGGATGCAATAGCCAAGTGTTGGTAAGTGCTGGTAAAAATACAGAGAAAAACCGTTATATATAAAACTGCGATTAAAATTATTGTGCTACGCCGCAATCATGACAACATTATGACAATATATGTATATATTATCACTTATGCACATTTGAAATCAAGCTTTTTCATTACTCACCTTTTAATACCGAGCGCAGAGTGTGCATAAGTCGGCGTGCCGTTTGGGATAATGACCAGTTCCACATTTAAATATTGGGCAAGTTATTGCTCTTCTTGAGGTTTTGAACTCATTTGCAAATGACTTCCTTAACAAAATGTGTAATGGCGAGGTTCGTTTCAATACAACATGTATTGATTATAATAAATTGTAAATGTAATTCATTTACGATATACCTTTTGAGTGAAATGTTTATGAGCTGAACTTGATAATTGTGCTGCGCGTGCAGCAATCGTTGATTAATGGGCTTGTAATTCTAATTGCCGACAGCAGGATAAGCCAAGTGATTAACTTGCGAATACTTGGACTAGCATATCAGCGACTATTTTTAGCGCATTTAAAAATCCATTAATTTGAGGCGGCCTGTCATGTGCAGATAAGTTTGAGCCCAAAACAGATTTTAGTTGGCTCTGCTCTCAACGCTGTTTTTTAATTCCTCAAAGTGGCAATAACCTCAGGCCGGGCCAAGCCAAGCTGAGGCCAAGATTTGCGCCAATGATTAATTGATAACTATTGTCAGACGTTCAACTATTTCAATTAAGTGCCAAAAAAGAAAAAAACACAAGCAAATGGCAACAGCAACAAAAAGAAAGCCAAAGCAGGCAATGCAAAAGGCAAAGTACGCGCAAGGCAATTTGTTAATTGTTTAGTCGATCAGCCATAAATCAATGGCAGTCGACAATTAAGCGCGCTAATTGTTGCACAGCTTACAACAATTGCGCTGGCCAATTGGCCAACTGAACTTGACCCCAACGCCAGCTGAAGACAATACAGACTATGAATTATACAATTCAATTTAATTTTTGCGGTTTTCTGCTACTTGTGGCATCAACAAAAAGAAGGCAACTTTGCGGCCGTCCCGTCAGACACCTGACAGCTGAACTTGAACTTGGTATTTGAATTAGCCAGCCAATCGGCTAGCACAGCTCTCTCTCTCTCTCTCTCGGTCTCTCTCTCTCTCGGCCTCTCTCCTCTCCTTCGTAGCCTTCGCAGTGCTGCATGGCTAATTAAATGCGTTGGCCGGCGGAAAAAAAAAACGTACGCATTGCTTGCATTGCTGCGACAAGTGTGCAATTTGTATTTAATTGTACGCATTAATTACGAGGGTCGTTAATTAAGTCATGAAATGATTTATAGCTGCGTTTATTATATAAAGTTCAACAAATTAACCTCAGGCAAATGCCCGTTTTTCATTTATTTGTGCAAGTAATTTTTGTGTTAAGTGATATGGCAACACCTTCACAAGGATGCCAGTTTTTGCATTTCATTAGAATACCAAAAAGTTCAATGGAAGAAAAAAATACTAAAAATATAAATTGGCACACGCTTAATAACGTATAGAGCCGCCCTCGTAGGCGGCTATTTTGAACAATTGTTTTTCAGCTAAAGGGTCGTAAATGTCAAGCATTTAATGTTGCACATCAACTGTAGCATAAATTGTAATTAAAAATATGTATGCTGTATACAGAAACAGCTGGGAGGCTTGTGATTTAAGCCTTCTGTTTAGTGCTTCCGGCAGGTAATTCGTGCGTTATGACTATGATATGCATATTGCTATATTTAATCATATAAGCGAATATAACGTAAATTGTCATTTAAATCAAGTCAACAGCGTTCCTCGACTTGACTGAAAACGGCTAGAAAAGCAACAACAATCAAACAAACAGACCAACAGGCCAACAATCACACGAAATTTTCACGGTCAAAACGGCAGAGGCGGAAGAAATTGCCAAAGCTTTTTAACTGCTGACAAAACAGCAGCAGCAGCATTGTTGCTATTATTGTTGCTGTTGTTGCTGTTGCTGTTGTTGTTGTTGATGCAATTGTTGTAGCTGTTTTCACCTGCAATCAAGCCAAGGTGCTTGCCAGCCAGCTTTCCTATTACATTTGCATTAGATTTGCATAAGCGCCTATTCAGACTGATTGACCCGAATGAAGTGCAGCGTCACCTGAAACTGGTTACCGGAAAGCAGCAGCAGCAGCAGCCGCTAGAAAGTTGCCTTTTCTGCCACTATCCGCCCAAGAACAACGACCATCACGTGTCGCACGTAGGCCAGCAACAAAAGCTCTCAAGCTCAAAGGCTCTCACACTAACGCTCGAGTCAGAAAAGAAAGAAAAAAAATAATAAACAAAAAAAACTCACTCAAAACGCAGCAAACAAAGCAACGACGGCCACGTCGACGTCGACAACGGCGCACGCTTGCCATGCTTTATATAAAATCAACTGAGCATTTCTGTTGGAATTCATTAAACGTTTTACCGCACAGCTCGACGTACATACCCGTACACGATCCGCCGATTCCGAGTCCGAGTCCGATTTCGAGTCCGAGTCAAAGCCGAGCTCCCGCAACCAGGCACAGCCAGCACACACACACACACACTATTTTTAAATATAGCGCAGCGCAGAGTCGTGTAAGCCAATACCCAGTTGACAGCCAAACGGCATCCAGCTAACAGTTCCCAGCTCATTTGAATTTGGCTTTCAGTTTCATTTGACACGCGTGATCTCGCTTACAAAGAAAAATCAAAGAAAAGTTAGAAATTTTCAATACCAATAATTATAAACAAAATCGTGTTTCGTGTTAAAAAACCCAAAAAAAAAAACAAGTGCAGTGCCTAATAAAAAAGTTAATTAATTTTTGAAATATTTGTTAACTAATTGCAGCTCAGCCAACAATTACAAATTACAACAACAAAAAATAACACACACAACTAAATCAACATGAAATTCGTAAGTACTCAGTGCAAAACAAAAAAAAAACAAGCGAAAAAAATATTGCATTTTATTTTGCGTTAGCCAAGTTCGTTGCCTAAGTCTTTTGTTTTGGTGGTTGCCAATGCCAAGCGACAATTTTCACAGCATTTTCATTGATGCTCATGCTAATGCGAATGCGAATGCGAATGCAATAGTTGTATTGCCAACAGACACTTTTGGCCAACATTCACCGCAAATTGAGTCTAGCTTTGGGGCTCATTGTGTGCTATACAGAATTTTTATTGGGCACTTGAATTTATGGCCAGTTGCCGCCAGTTGCCCGTTGTGTCGTGTGTCAATTTTTGCAGCGAGCATTTTGTCGGCATTAAAGACATGACAAAGCCAGCCGCGAGCATATAAAAATGAACATATCTATTCGTAATCGTATTTAAATAAACACACAGAGACAGAGAGAGCTGCATGTGTGTAACTGGCTATTAAGCTGTTAAGCCGCAGACAATGGACTTTTGGCTGGGGGGCGTGCCGCACCGTGTACAGCATCCAGGCCATAAATTGTATACGATTTGCATGGCATACACACAAAACTATGATTATGCAGCCAAGCGCACGCACTTTCAATGTTTCCGCCTGCCCGAAGTTCAACTCAATGTGCAGAACGGCCAGCAATTACACGCAACAAACAAAAAATCGGTTGGGGGGGGTAAGGCAGGAAGTTCAAGTTCATGTTGAAGGCCGCGGCCGTGCCAGACAAGCAGCAGACACTTGTTTACAGATCAAGCAAAAAAAAACAACAACAACAACAACAGCAAACGCAATGGCAAAAACGTGCTTGGGCATGCGTTTTGTCAGTTAATTGAAAAGTGCGATACACACGCGCCAAAGCCAAAGCCAGAGTCACAGTCAAGTGACCAAAACTGGCGCTGACCAACTTCTTGACCATTGCGTGTATGTCCGCCCCTCCTCTCCTTGTCTCGCCTTCATTGCGAGCATGTGCGTGTGCGCGACACGGCCATAAATTAAACAACTATGAAAAGCCCGCGTTCAATTCATTAGAGTCTCAAAAGTTATGCAACGGCAACTGCAACTGCAACTGCAACTGGCTGCAGTCGGCGGTTGTCGTTTCATCCCAGCAGGCGAGCTGGGCACCCTGGGAACCGCAATCAGCGTCTGGCGAATCGCTCTCGATTAGGATTGGGTCATGCGTGCGCAGACTCGAGAAAAGATTTATTAATTGCTCGACAATCGCTTTAATTCATTTTGTTAATCGTCGCCATCGCCAGCAACTTGTCCTCGTCGACATGTTGTTGCATTTTACACGCTTTGCGTGTAGAAATTCAAATTAATTGCCATAAATATATATATATTTATACATACATTTGCCTTGCGTTTCGCTTGGCTTGCTCTGACTTTGGTCGGCTTTAACCTGGCCCAGGCCAAGTCGAGCTCTCAGCTCGGCTAATGAAGATGCCGCACTTGCACAATACACACACACACACACACACAAACACACACACGAGCAATTGTCATGCATAATTGCAATATCTTTTTGCAGCTGTGTGTGTGTGTGTTTAGGCCAGGCTAAGGGGAATATGTTTTATCAGCTCACAAAAAGTTTCAAACTTCATGCTTGAGGCAAAAATGCTTTAAGACTTAGTTTCTCAAACTGTGAACTAACGTACTGTAAAATTTGTATTTTTTCAATATTTAAATATATTTGTTGAACAGATTTGTGGGAAATAAAATCTATACTAAATATAAGTTTAGTTTTTGATGTCTGAATGAATTCTATGAATTCTGAGAAAGTAAACTAAAAACTTAATTAAATGGAACAATGTTTATAATATTCTAAGTTTTCTAAAATTGCCAATATAAACATTTGATTATTAGATGAGTGGGGAAGAAAAAAACATAGACTGAGACTTAATACAAAAGTTGTCAAATTGTGTTTAAGGTTTTTAGTACGCATTGTTTAGATACAAGCGGGAAGCTTTAAACTAGCTAATAATTTATTAAATAATCAAATAATAAAACTTAAACTTAGGTCAGTTCTTATAGGTAGACGACCAGCTAGTTCTTCGAATCTTTCTAATGGGGCTTGACTTGCCAGTTTTTTAATTTTTGTGATATAGTAAACAAAACTGAACTAAATAGAATAATAATGAAATAATATTGAAATTTAAATTTTATACAATACATAATTTGTTATTATTATTACAATCATGTGTTAAACAAACTGAATTAAATCACACATAATAATAATAATGGAACATTTTATATTCACGAAATGGAGTGAAACAAGCATGGAAAGTTGATAAAATTTTATATGATAATATATATATATACTTTTAACTCTAATTTAATACTGAGGCCTCCGGCTACAATAATATAATATAATCTATAATAATAGAGGAGCATTTTACATTCACGAAATGAAGTGAAACAAGCATGTAAAGATGATAACATTTTAAACAATATATATATACTTTTAAGTTTGCTTTACTACTAAGACCTTCGGCTACAATTACCGAGGATTTGAGTCCAGATTCTCGTTGCTCAGTTCCCCAAATGAATTGGATACTTGGACAACTCATCTATCGAGGTCTGCATATCATGTTGTATTCCAGCCACAATTAAGCTCCACGTTACTTGGACATTTAACAAATTCGTGCCATCTATTTCGTTGAATCCTCTGGCCAGTCGTGGCTCTGCGCTCCATTTGGACCAAATCTCGCTAATGTCCATTGCCTTTGGCATTATATGCTATGTGCCATGTCACTTGATATCGGGAATCGCAACGGTCGCAAAAAGTTTTTCGCTTATTTTATTACAATTCGCGTAGTGCGACGCGATTAGCTGCAAACGCGCAGCTGTCGCAATCAGAGCCATGTCTTGGACTGCTAGCAGTCACTCAGTCAGTCAGTCAGTCAGTCAGTCAGTTAGTCAGTCAGTCAGTCAGTCAGTCAGTGCGCATGGCAAGTGCCTGGCGTACACATGTTCCACATGTCCAGCTACAGTTGGACATTAGCTCAAAGCTTGGCGAGCGTGCGTTGCCTGCCCACATGAGAGCGTTTCGCTTGCAAAATAGTTATGTTAGATTTATCGCCGGAGTGGACCAGGCCATTACCATATTTATAAGGCACGGGCAGGCAGGTGAGCAGTCAGGGGGGGGGGGGGGTGCGACATGTGCGTTGTGTTTGGCATTTTGTCATGCCTTAAATGCTACAAATTTGCGCTGTTCGCTGAACTTGAACTAATTTTTGTTTGCATTTGCATTGGGGGGCCGCATCAACAGGAAAAGGAAAAGGAAAAGGAAAAGTGTTTCGATTCTCACGCTGCCAAACGACAATTGGCACTTCCTAACCAACGAGCTGCGGCAAATTGAGGCCCCATAATTGCCTGGTCAATAAGTAATAGCAAAGTCAGACACAGTCTCCAACTGGCCCGGCATCATTTCCAGCTATTAAACACAATTCAAAGTAATTTAAAGCAGCGGCCGTGTTGCGCCAGTTGTTGATCTTGTTGCACCTACTACTAAACACGGCCGACACAGACTCGCTAAAATTTTTTGAGCTTAGCCACAATCGCAACTGCTTGCAGATGGCCAAGCCAAGAGTCTGGAGCCAGGCCGGGATTGAGCAGCAGCAGCAGCACGCTTCCGTGTTGAAAGTCAATGCACAGTTGCTCAATCGAGCGTTAACCTGGACCTGGACAGCATTAGCATCTGGAGCGCGGCTAACTGATGCTGTAGGCGTTACAATCATTAACAACAGATAACAGCATCAAATTTTCTTTTTTATTTTCTTTCATTTATTATACCCTTGCGGTGGGCATTATAATTTGGTCGTGCAATGTGTAACGCATAGAAGGAGACGATCGTTCGAAAAGTAAACTTTTGTTTATCAAGATTTCTTAACCTTACTCGACATATTTTACTTTTACAATGCATTTCATATATATGCAAAATCCTATCCATATCGGACCACTATATCATATAGCTGCCATAGGAACGATCGGTTGAGAGTAGGTTCTTGTGTGAAAAACTTTTTTGTTTATCAAGATATTTTGACCAAACTCGACATTTATCAGTTTTACTATGCTCCTCATATATTTGCAAAATCCTATCAACATCGGACCACTATATCATATAGCTGCCATAGGAACGATCGGTCGAAAATTAAGTTGTTGTATGGAAAACTTTTTTGTTTTTCAAGATATCTTGACCAAACTCGACATTTATAGGTTTCACTATGTTCCCTACATTTATGCTAAATCTTCTTAACATCGGACCACATTATCATATGGCTGCCATAGGAACGATCAGTCGAAAATTAAGTTGTTATATGGAAAACTTTTTTGTTTTAGAAGATATCTTGACCAAACTCGACATTTATAAGTTTCACTATGTTCTCTACATTTATGCAAAATCTTATTTACATCGGACTACTATATCATACAGCTGCCATAGGAACGATCGGTAGAAAAGTAGGTTCTTGCTTGGAAAACTTCTTTGTTTTACAAGATATCTTAACCCTACTCGGCATTAACTATTGTAGCAATTATGAGCATTATGAAAAGGTTGCGTCTGCCAGGGTATTAAATATTCGGCGTGCCGAAGAGAGCCTTAATCTTCTTTCTCGTTTTTGTTGTTGTATTCTTTTATGTTTTATTTTTGGTGTCCGGCTAAACTTGAGCGCATTTCAATTGTTCAACATTCACTTTTGCAACTGGCAAATTGTTCACATCAAATTCGTAATGCTCGCTGGGCAAATGACAACAATCCATTTAAATAAGATTAATTAACGCTCCAGCTGTTGCCATGCCAGGCCTCATTTTCCATTTTTCTTTCCACATGACTCACTTTTTTTTTTGGCCCATGCACATTTTCGCCAGGAACAACTAATCGAAAGTTCATTTCGAGTTGATTTTATGCATTTTGATATTTGTCCAAATGCAAGGCGCTCTGGTTACCTGTTCGAATGGATTTTTTTCAATATTTATTTTTTATTTTTCTCTTTTTTGGCTTGTAAAGTAATAAAAAATAATTTATTTTTACTGCACATTTGAGCCAATCAAAATCTAAACGCCAATAAATGCCAGCACAAAAATGAAAAATCTGATTGAAAAACAACTAAAAGCGCTGCAAGCGCACAGTGCTCAACGGCTAGATACCCTGTAAAAAAAACTTAAATTATTTTGAATTTTTAATGTTATAATATATCAAAAATCGGTTATTTTTCAGGCATAAGAACCTTAGCTAAACGTTGTCTAGGCTGCGCATGCCCTTTAGACCATTGTTTACAGGGTATACAAAGCCGCTGCTAACAAGCCAATGTTGTTGTTGTTTTGCTCTCGTTGTCCAGCTGTTGTTGTTGTTGTGATTTTTATTTAGGTTTTTTCATGCGCTGGCCCGGGCACGGGCACGGACACGGGCACGCTCACATGTTGCTGCACTTAATCATTGTTGTGGGTGGGTGGGTTTTCGCATGAGACGCCGTTGGCCAACAATCTTGGCCGTCTTGGCTGCTGCCGCTGCTGCTGCTGTTTTTGCTGGCCTGCTAACCAAGCAGCAAGCGCCGCCCAATTACGAAATCATATCTAAGGTCATTTGTTCAACTAATTTGTTGTGGCTACGATAAGGGGTAGGGGAGGGGAGGGGGAACGGGGGGAGCTGCCATGAGGAATGATTGCAATTTCCATACAAATAGTTTTGTTCTCAAACAAATTAACTCACATTAGCGTGCTGCACGGTTTGAGAGTGCCAATTTTTTTAATGTGGATTCCTTGCGGCTAGCCGCAAAAACAAGAATCAACCCAAGTGCTGCGCTTAATTTATTTAATTAATTTAAACGATCACTTTCAAATACCCTGTCACGGCTTCAACAGTTGAACAGTTGTCCAAAACTATTCAAAGAATGCCCAAATCCAAATGTGTAAAAAAGTGGACACGTTGCCTCCGGCTCCAGTTGACGACATTTTGACGGTTTACATGTGTATCATGCCACAGTGGAGCCATAGATTCCAGGCAATGAGTGAAATACACTGAGAAAAATAGTATATAAATTAAATTTACGAAAATTCATAATAACTAATTTTTTAAAAGTAACTAAAGTGTACAATTTTAGACTACTTTTTACTATAGTTTCTCCTCCTGTTCTAGATTCCACGCATTGAGTGCAATACACTGAGAGAAAAAGTATATAAATAACATTTTCGAAAATCCATATTAACTAATTTTTAAAAAGTAACTAACAATTTTAGACTACTTTTTACTCTTGTTCCTCCTCCTGTTCTAGATTACAGGCAATGAGTTGAAAAGCACTGAGAAAAATAATATATAAATTAAATTTTCGAAAATCCATATTAACTAATTTTTAAAAAGTAACTAAAGTGTAAAATTTTAGGCTACTTTTTACTCTTGTTCCTCCTCCTGTTCTAGATTCCACGCATTGATTGAAATAATCTGAAAAAAATAAAAAATAAATTACATTTTCAAAAATTCATTTAATTTAATTTAAATAAAAGTAACTAAAATGTAGAATTTTAGACTACTTTTAATTATCCACTTCCTCCTCCTTCTCTCCTCTTCTCTGTTCTAGATTCCAGGCTATGAGTGAAATACACTGAAAAAAAAAGTACATAAATTAAATTTTCAAAAATTCATATTAGATCATTTAAATAAAAGTAACTAAAGTGTACAATTTTAGACTACTTTCAATCATGCACTTCCTCCTCCTCCTCCTCCCCTCTGCTCCTCTGTCCCAGATCTCAAGCTCAATTAGATTGATTGCCGTAAACAACTAAGCAAATAATCTTGAACTAAGCCAATTATATTTCTCAGTGCAATCACAGCTGTTCGCTCAAATTACTTTAAATTGTCATTTCCTTTTTTTGGTTATTAATTTCTGATCTGATTTATGATGGATTCAAAAGTTGTGCCGACTTCTCAAGCCAATTGTGTGCTTCAGTTTACCTGGCTTATGGCCAAGAATTTGGCCAATTGATCGCCCGCTCGAACCTCCCACGCCAAAAGGAGTTATTAATCACGCTTTAAAAAGGCGACAGTTTTGAGAATTTGGCGTAATTATCGCATGGTTTTAATCTTCGCTAGCCTGATCTTCTGGCCAGAGCCAATGTCTTGGGCCTCGCAGATCTACGCTGGCAACAGACGCCGTGTCTAACTTTAGGACAACAACAACAACGACAACAACTGCAACAACAACAACAACTGCAACAAACATGAATTAATTAAAAGCATTTTCACAAGTTGGCGAGACTTTAATGTCTAGACGAGAGTCGCAGTTGCCTGTCGTTGGCAACTGTTCGCCTTGTTTGCATATTTTTTGATTATTTAGTTTCCAAGACAATTTTTTTTTGCTAGTTGTTGTTTTTTGTTGTTGTTGTTGTATGCATATTTTTGCTAATAGCAATTAGCGTAGTTGTTGTTGTTGTTGCAGCTGCTGATATATTGTTTTTTGTTCTTGTACTATTTTATTTGTAGGGTGCACTTTGCAGAATATTAAATGAAATGAATTGCCGCTGCAGTAGCGCAAAAATCAACAAAAATGTTTGTTAAAATTTACATGAAGCACAAATATTGCGCATACGCCCTGCAGTGCAATGCAGATTGCAGGCGCGGCCCATTAGGCAATTAATGAAGCAAAAACCTTTCAAAGGCACACAACAAATAAAAAATAACAACTAAAAGAAACTAAAGCAAAAGCGAGCAGCAATTAGTTGGCAATACAGGTGTGATTACTGACCATAAAGCAAACAAATATATGGACTTAATGCTGGCCCGGTTCGTTAGCCCGGTTCTATTAAGTCTTTGCGGCCCTGTGATTAGTGTCCAGACTCTGGCGCAATTGCGTGACGACGGCCTTTAATAAGACATTAGATGGCAACAAAACACCCGCGCAACACTTTGCGGCACAGTTGCAAGCTGCCAATAGCCAAGTGCCAGCCTGTCGACCATTCAATGCGAAATCAATAAATTCAACGCGCCGCGCAGACAGCCCCCCTACAACTCTATATATATATATAAGTATATATTTATGGCCACGGAGCCAATTTGGGCCATTGATGCATGCCGCCGCAGCTTCGACGAGCGCAGATCTTAGCTGCTTAACGAGCTCAAGCCGTATGCTTATCAGAGCATTAGATTCGATGCAATTGGCGAATTGGGTCAGCTTTGGAGAGCTAAGCTAAAGACAATATAAACACTCGGATGAGTAACAGCTATCATTGCGCTCTCTCAACTGAAAGAGCGTAAAAGCTAAAAGTAGAATGTACTCTCAGCCTCTCTGCTCTATGAGAGCCGAACGAATCGACCAGCTTTGCCGATTAACTTCGTAGCTCGTGTCAGCATCAGCAAGCCGCGACTTCGGCAGTCGTTCGTGTGGCGAACAGCCAGTTGAGAGTGGGAAAAGCCAGCTGAGAAGCCAGGCTAGAAATCATGCGTCGCATTCAAATGTATGAGCGTTACTCATCTTAGTGTTAAGATTGTCTTTGTCTTTTGTTAACTGGCATTTAAAAAAAACTCTTTTTTTTTCAATTGTGATAGATATGGTTTTTGTGCAATTGCCGCTAATTACATAGACACGCGCTGCATATGAAAAATGGCCAAAGAGACAGCCTTAAGAACTGAATAGAGCACTTACCACTTACCACTTACCATTTGGCACTTGGCAGTTGGCAGTCGGCTCGTGCTCGAATCGAGTACAGCTGAATGGCATTCTGACTGAATGGTAGACACTGTTGGCTTAATTGTTTTCCATATGCTTGGCACTGTGCTGGCATTGACACACATTTCAATTGTTTAATCGCCTCGACCGTACTTAAACTTATTACCAACATGCGCGCGCGCTTAATCGTATCAATGTCTCTCTTTTTCTTCTTGCAGTCAGTCACCATTGCCGCCCTGTGCCTGTGCCTGGCCTTTGCCGCTGGCCAGCAATACTTTCTAGGACAATTCCCCGGCCGATCGCGCTTCGCCTACGATCCTTTGGCCCTGGCACAGCCCTCGGCAGCGCAGATCCGTGATCCGCGCCAGAACAGAGGTGAGATTGTCCAAAATCTAGCTTGCACTCTTTACAATTTCACACAACCTTATCCTTATATTATATTATCTTTGTGTGTATTTCCTTTGCAGGACCCGTTGTGTTCCCCCCCTCGCCCCCGGATGCGATTGAGGAGTCGAGCGGCGTTGTTGTTGGCGCCTCTGGCTTTGGCTTTGTGCCACCTCAGCAAAGTAATACATTCAGACAATAGTAGAACCTAGGCCATTCTTACCCACACTCACACTCACACACTCACACACTTACACACACTTAAAGCTTTATTAGTGCAATTGACGTAATGTTTAAATATGAAGTCGTTTTTTTTTAGTTTATGCAGTTGTTTTGTTGAATAATTGTCTTTTTTTAACGTACCCTCCACCCCACGTCCAATTCACAGGCACAATCTTTGGTTAACTGCACACACACACAGCCATATATACACACACACACACAGTACACGCACACCCACACACAGCCACACACAATGCCAAACAGCGCCGGAAACGGAAATACGCGTCACAGTTAATTGCAGCCAACTTCAATTTAAGCACCTCAGCCCATCCGCTCCTAAGCCCAGCGCACACACACACACACACACACACACACGTACACACAATCCCGCACACACACACTAACATAACAAAATAATCAACATGTAATAATAAAAAAAATTGTTTATTAGTTATTATTATTTAGTTTAATTGTTGTTATCTAATTGCAAACACATCAATTTAGTACTTTTGCTTTTTATTCTTTCTTATTTCTTTTGTTGTTTTTATTTTTTTTGGTTTTGCCAATTATTAAATAAATTGTAACTCGAAAATTCTTATTTTTTAGTTGAAGAACTATCTAAATTATAAATAAATAAACATTAGCACATAAAATGTATTTTTTTATGTTACACTTTTTATTTAATTTTTACTTTTTACATTGACATCTTTCGGCCGCACAAAAAACAAAAAATTCCACTTATTTTTATTCTTTTTTCTTTTTGTTGTTTTTATTTTGCCAACTATTTTATGTATTTATATTCTGTTCTGGAAATTTAGAGTTTTTATTTTGTTTAATTTGTAACTCGAAAATTATTATTTTTAGTTAAAGAACTAAATTATGAATAAACAAACACAAGCACATAAAATGTATTTTTGTATGTTACACTTTTTATTTACTTTTTACGTTTTACTTTGACATCTTTCGGCCGCACAAATTCCAGCCAAAAAAATTCAACTTGTTTTAAGTAATTGTTTGTCTTTTGCGTTTCACATTCAAATGCACCAATTTGGCTTTAGATCTTATCGTACAAGTATGTTTATGATTTCTTGTAGCAATTATTGTAAGTGCACACAAAACAAGCGTCTAATTAACAAAGCCAGCTTTGAAGTGCAGCGACACAAATCGAACTGTGACGGCCTCAGTCTCAGCCTCAGCCACGGCCAATCCGATTCCAAATCCAAATCCAACAACTGTAACGACGTGGCCTACACTCTTCACGACAGCTTCACATTGCCGTGTGGGCACACGATATTATATTATTATTATTATGATATATACATAGGTTAGGCTGACGAAACATTGTAGGCTTGGGACGAGCACTTGACGTGGGGAAAAATGGATTTTTGTTGTGTATCCAAATCGAATGTTGAAATATGACAAAGCAAATCAGTTGCCACAACTTGTTGCATCTTGCTACAGAAAGTAGACTCAAGAGTTGTTCAAAACGTTTCAAACTCAAAACCGATTAAAAGCAACTTCAAATTAATGTCGACTAAAATTCGATTTCTCAATGACTCGACACGGAATTGGGATCAATTTTCCAATTCGATTGAAAAGCATTTTCTAAGCCTGATTAACAAATGTGAATGTTGTTGTAAATAGCCCACAAAACAGTTTTCCTTCCCATTCAAAACAAGTTAGAAATGTTTAAAAAATATCATGCAAAATTATTTGTTGAGCTCGTAAAATACTTGTGCATAAAAAAGTTAATCAAATTTACAATTTTTGCCTAGAATGCCCTTTTCTTAAAAGGTTTCCAAGCATTTTATTCAGTTTAAGAAACCAAGTCTTGAAATGCATATTTATCGATTGGTAGAAGCTAATAGAAAAACACAAGTAAGAGGTTCTAGTCGGGAGCTCCCGACTAGGGGATACCCTGAACCCTCTTCTTCCGACAGGCGATAGGTATAAAATGAAAAATACTTGATATATATATACTATTTTAGAAGCTATATGTCAAGTTTGGTGACTCTAGCTCACAAGCACTAGGAGGACCTACAGTCAAAATTTCAAGTCTCTAGCTCCTATAGGTTCCGAGATCCTTGCGTTCATACATAGGGAAGGACGGACAGACAGAAGGACATGGTCAGATCGACTCGGCTGTTGATGCTGATCAAGAATATATATACTTTATGGGGTCGAATACATAATACCCTTTTTACCCATTTTCAATGGGTTCAGGGTATAACAATTACGGATTGCAATAAAGAATAGATACTTCAAGTCGGTAGCTTTTTTAGTTACCGAGCTTGGCAAGACCTGATCAATAATTTATATACTTTATGGGGAAGAATTTCCGCCTGTTGAATACACTTGAAGAAAAACATTATAGCCTTTTTATCAATTTGCAATGTGTTAATAAAAATGATGGTAATTAATACTGTTCCTTTACAGAGCTATCAGTAAAAGTTTTTACTACTCGACAGCTTTTTTCAATACTTGTTCTCTGATTACAAACATAGCTCTCCACATGTTAATTCCCTTATCCCCCTTGGCAGGCAGGTTGTGATGCCTTAAGTACCTTACTGGAAAATGAAATATGAACAATTTTTAACGACAAGCAAATGTGTTGGCCCCGAGCACAGCCGGCAGCAACAGCAGCAGCAGCAGCAGCAGGTGCTGCAGCAGCAATCGCGACTTAAGCTCCATATGGAGCTATGTGTCTATGCCTGTCTATAAAGTCAATGAGCGCACACATAGACATTTGCATAGAGTATGTGAATTGAAGGGGGAGAGAGGCAAGGAGAGGCACAGATAGAGAGAGGGAGAAAGAGGGAGAGAGAGAGAGAGGGGAGATACTCAATGATATGCGCGACTAATGCTGTGCAAAATATGTTCGCAGTTTGCATTTTAACTTTTTTTTAATACCCTGCACACATAAAAATATGTGTAAGGGGTATAATGAAACAAAGCGAAGGCATGTAACGAAGTTTTAAAGATACATCTGATAGCTTAAACTATAAATGTACGTTCCTTCCAATTGTTCTCTTAATAGGAATAGGATTGTTTTGATTGGATTTAAGTATTTAGAGCGAGATTGCGGGATATTTAAAATACAGATATTGATAAGAGAGAAATCTTTCTTAAGCTATATCAACTAAAATGATACGATTATATATATAAATTAATTACATTAATTATTAGCTAAAGTTCCGTTTAAGTAGACACTTCGTCTCCGCAAGAATTCAAAATGAATTTTCAGTAGAGAGTATCCCCAAGTCGAGCACTTTTGAGCGGGGCATTCTTGCTAGTTTTTTTTTTTTTGCATATCGTTTGAGCGGCATGAAATGCAAAGAAAATCGAAATGGAGCAACTGTATTTTTTTTTTCTTCTTTTGAACTGCGGCTAAGCCTAGCTTTGCCGCATGGAACAAAAAAGCGAGCAGTGGGCCAAGCCGGAGGACTTGGGGACTGGAACTGGGACTGGGACACACAATGCATGGAAAAACATTTCACAACGAACACACAAAACGAACGACACTAAGTTGAGATAATTTTTACAATTTGACAATTTATGCACGATTGGCGACCAGGTAGCCAAATGCTGCCAATACAATTGCCGGCCCAAAAGCCGAAATGGACATTGTGTAATTAATTTTGCAAGCGCAAAGTTCTCGCTACGCAGCGCAGGCTTCCTGGATGAGGACTGCCCGTGGTTAGACTGCGGTGACTGAGGCAACAATTGCCAAATAAATGGCCACAATTGTTGCCGCCAATTGACAGCCACCCACCATAAAGTATTTGTATGCGGACGACAGCTTGCAAGGGGCGACTAATGTGGCCGGCGGCCAATCATTAAACGGGGCATTCCAAATCGCCGTGCCAACGCCCCGGGCCAGCAGCAGCAGCAACTGCAGCTGGACACTTGCCCAAACAACACTTGACCAGCTTGTTGAGGCTGCGCTGTGATTGACGAAGCGCTTAACCTTGGGTCGACGCCCACGTTTGGAATTTACCAGTTGGCAGCCAAGTTAACACGACTAATCTCAAGTGCACCCGCCACCAAGCCCAAGCCCAAGCCTAACCATATTAATTGTATAATTATTGCCAAGTCCAAGTGCTTCTCTTTCATTTGTCTTCCATTCAATTTGCAGCGGTGGCAGCTGTGGCCGCGGCGGCTGGCGGCGTGGATCCCACATATTTCAGCACCACATTTCAAACGCCGGACACATCGTACGCAACGTTCAACTATTATAGCAGTCCATACAGTACGAGATACACATACTTCTGAGGCGACACGGGTCCGCTCCGGAGCCAAGAGTCGGGTCGAGTCGAGAGTCGAGTCGAGAGTCGAGTCATGTGTAAGTAGTCAGTTAATGAGGCGCCTAGGCAAAATATCTAACAATGTTGTAAATAAATGTGTAAAATATGCAATTTGTGTTTAACTTGTGCGTTGTCGTGCACTCGAGTGTGCAACAATATATTGCTTTTGACTGTTTGCTGTTGCAATTGTTAATGCATGCGCAAAAACGAAAGACTCAGGAAGCGAACTTGAAAGCGCGCAAGCGTTAAGCAAACAAATCAGCCTTTGTTATCACCGCTGTGATATTTATTTGTTGTTATACCCTTCGCAGAGGGTACTATAATTTGGTCGTGTAACGCATGTGTAACGCATAGATGGAGACATTTCCGAGCCCCTTAAGTATATATAATCTTGATCATTATCAACAGGCGAGTCGATATAGCCATGTCCGTCGTTACAGCTATCTTTGCAGCAGAGCTTCTTTCTGTTGCACACAGTACATATGTCGGGACCAGCAGGATCGGATAACTATATCATATAGCTGCCATAGAAACGATCGGTCGAAAAGTAGGTTCTTCCATGGAAAACTTTTTTGTCTTTCAAGATTTCTTGACCAAACTTGACAAATATTAGTTTTACTATGCTCCCCACATATTTGCAAAATCCTACGTATATCGGAGCACTATATCATATAGCTGCCGTAGGAACGATCGGTCGAAAAGTAGATTCTTGTATGAAAAACTTTTTTGTTTTTCAAGATATCGTGACCAAACTCGCCATTTAAAGGTTTCACTATGCTCCCTACATTTATGTAAAATCTTATTTACATCGGATCACTATATCATATAGCTGCCATAGAAACGATCGGTCGAAAAGTAGGTTCTTGTGTGAAAAACTTTTTTGTTTATTAAGATATCTTGACCAAACTCGGCATTAACTATTTTCCCTGTGCTTCTTAGATACCGGAAAAGCACTATGAGCATTATAAAAAGGTTGGGTCTGCATGGGTATTATATCTTCGGCGTGCCTCGTTATTGTTGTTGCAGCTTGCATAATTACTTGTATGTTATATACGAATCTGCGATATCTAGATGCAACTGAGCCCAAGCGATGCTTATCGATCGACAAACAGTAGCTAGAATCGTAGCTGGAGCTGCCAATGAAGTGTGAACTGAATACGCGTCATTGGGCTTGGAATGTTTATTTGCTTGTTACTGTTTGATTTTTGTTTTTTTTTTTTGTTTTTTTGTTTTTTGTTAGCACTGCGAATTGCAAGAAATCTGTGCAAGCGTTTGCCTTTGCATTTTACAACAGCATTTCATGCCGCAGCAAACAATTGCATATTGTCGTTATTGTTGACGTGTTGGTTGTGTTGGTTGTTGTTGTTGTCGTTGCCGCTTGCCATTGTATGTTAAATTACGTAGACGCCTAGTATGGGCCAAGCCGGTGCCTGCGGTGTTAATTTCCATTGACACTGGGACACACGGCGGCATACGGCAACTAAAGCTCCGAATTTTTATATTTCTTTATTTATTTGAGCTTGTCTTGCAGAGTTGTCAGAAGTCGCAGTGCAGCAGAGTCGAAATATGAAAATAGTCCACAATTCTCGAGCGATTGCACAACAATACCAGAGCCAACAACAGCCCCAAGCAGATCATTAGCGTCGGTGGCGGCGGCGACGGTGGCGGCATGATTCACAGCACCAACTGCACCCGAAACTCGACTGGTCAAATCGTGGATGCAGACGCGCAGCGCACATGACCGACCGGTCGGGCGCCAGGGCCCCTGTCATAATTTGTATTAAGTGCAGCCACATAACGACAAAGGCCAATTGCAGTCGGAGCAACTGCCAGTTGGCAGCTATCGCGGCGCGTTGATAACCTTGTTGACCACAAGAATTTTCAATAAAATGACAATTCGCTGAATGCAAGCTAAATAAATGTCTTGTCGCCGCGGGCAATAAATGAAACCGAAAAGCGGGCTCCACATATTCAAATTTTTTACACATATTAATACCTAGATCAAATAGAATTCGGAGCCTACTCCAGCACAGTTTCTGTTTCGTCTTAGGTTTCAATTCGTCATCATTCCCGCTTTTAATTAGCTTTGCTAAATGACTCACAATTTGTCAGCACACACCTTTCTGAGTGTTCCGTCTGGCAAATCCTGTGCATAGCTCACGTAGACAAAAACCGAACTGACCTTCACTACATTTGCATTAATTGATTTGTATTTTAATTCCGGTTTCGGTCTCCAAGTGCCACATACCGAACAGTTTAAAGACCCTTTCGAATATCCGTCCGTCTTAATTGTTCTCTAACTGCTGATTGCCTTTCTAAACACTCGTATCACATGGCTTCTAAATACAGGTTTGTATGTTCTAAGTCAGTTGAAATAATCAAAAAACCGTTTCTTTGACATGCTAACACTTTTCAACACTTAACTCGGCCACTTGTCGATAGTGTTATTTACTTGTCATCGAGTTGGCAGCCTCAGTGAATATCTATCGGCTTGCCTCCACTGCGCAACTTATATGCGAATATTCTAGACCAAAGCAACCAAAAATAACTATAAAATATTGAAGGAGAAAATGGAACAATGTTATAACAGAGGTTGCGGCCAACTTTTTGATCCCGCCACCAATACTGATGGTAAGTAAAACTACTGAACATGAAAAAATAAAGAACTTACAGCACGTTGTTTTGCATAGAATCTTGCCGGCATCATCCGGGTGCGCCATTCTTCCACGATGCCTACAAAGGCTGGTCATGTTGCAGTAAAAAGTCGGTGGACTTCACAGAATTCCTCAATATCAAAGGCTGCACTTTGGCGAAACATTCAAACATTAAGCCGCCCGAACCAGAGAAGCCAGCCAAGGATGACAACGATGAGGATAAGACTATGGAAATTGAAGTGCGAGCTCCTATTAAGGAATCACTACCTAGGCCTCCCATTGAAACGCCATTTACTGTCCTGGAGCCAAAAGTAGCGCCTGTATTGAAGGACACCATTGATGCTTTAAAAGTCAGCACTGTTGCCGCTCCAGCTGCAACTGCAGGCAGCGAAGGGTACTTAAGATCTCTGTTGTGCTTTTATTGAATGATATTTAATATATAATTATATATTAGAGATGTTGCTGTGGGAACGAGCTGCAAAAACAATGGCTGCACTTACTCCTACACGAACACAAGCAGCGACTTTGGCGAGTGCACTTATCATCCTGGCGTTCCCATATTCCATGAGGGCATGAAATTTTGGTCATGCTGTCAGAAACGTACCTCCGATTTTGCGCAATTCATGGCTCAAAAAGGCTGTGTTTACGGACAACATAAATTTGTTAAAGATGTAAGTCATACGAACAATGCATACGGCAATTTGCGATTAATCTATTTGATACACTGCAGGACGAAGACAAACAGATAGTCCAATGCCGATACGATTGGCATCAGACGGCCACGAATGTTGTTGTCGCAGTCTATGCCAAAAAATATCATTACGCACAAAGCGTCGTTGAAGTAAATCCGATTCGCCTTCACATAATGCTGGTCTTTCCAGAACAGGAAAATGCCAAGTTTGATTTGGACCTAGAACTGCGTGGTGTAAGACTGAATGCTTTCTATTATGTCAACTTGGATAACTGACGCTTCTGTTTGTTTAGATAATCAATGTACAAAAAGCTTCTGTGCAAATGTTTGGCACTAAGGTGGAGATTACGTTGCCAAAATTGGAACCAGGATCATGGCCAAAACTTAATTTTCCACGTGATGTGCTGCCAGCTGTAAACAAAGATCCTGCCCAGATCAACCCAAATGTCGAGCAAAACGATGACAGTGATGAGGAGTTTTTCGACTTGGACGACATTCAACCCGTTCAAAGCTACGGACTTAAATTATCCGATATGAGTCTGCAAAATCCCAACGCATTAGATTGATAACACGCTAGCATTTTATTTGTAAAACTATAAAGAACCCATTGTGTTGAGCCATTTGTTTACAATACACAAGTATGCCTTATATGAGTTTTTTTTTTAATATCGCAGCACTGCTTAATCATCGTCGTCATCAGCTCCGGGCACCCAATCCTCATCGTCGTCGTCATCCAAATCCAGTTCACCAATATCTTGAAACAACGTTTCATCGATTTTAACATTCTCAATGTTTTCACCGGCCTCCAACAGAAATTTGATGTCCGAATCGTTCAATGTGTTATCGCACATGAATAACTCTCGGCCCGTCAGCTTCTTGCAATCATTGTTTTTCTCCCGTTTTGCCGCAACGCCCGTGCTCTCCTCAAAGTCCAACTTCCATTTCATAAATGTTTCGACAGACACACGCGTACCTTCGAATTTCTTTCTTTCCGCTTCTTCGACTTCTTGAACCTTGCGCACCCGTTCATCCTCCTGAGTTTTCTTGTGCTCGTCCCACTGCACATTTAGCCATTCCTGTGCACTGCTCACTAAAGAGAACACCATCTCCATGCCGATGTTCTCGTCAATTGTCTGGCGTAAGTGTTCCAGCAGCCGCGCCTCAAAATTGTCTTCAAAATTTTCCGCTTCCTCAATTTCTACCAGCGGAGCCTCATCTGGATATGTTGCTGTGTAAGTAAACAGAAGCTTGCACGCTAAACCTTTTTCATTCTCTTCGACTGCATCGGCATTGTACTCCTCAGTAGCAATGGGAATTTGAAATTTGTGGAAAGGTTCTGTCTGTAGAACTGCAAAAGGAATATTTGCATTATATTGAAATACAATAAGACAATTCGAGTTACCTTCCATTTCACCACAATATATGGAATCCAGCGCTTCAACCTCATTGGTCTGATCTTCTTTGTAGTTGCGGCTCATTCTGGGTTTTTAATTAATTTACAAAATAATAATATAAATTTCAGAGCTGCCGTGTCTCTGGCCCAGCTTTTAGGTTATTTGTTAGGGTGGCCAACATACGTTCAGACTGTATGATGCCACATATCACTTATGAGCTCGAAATTCTTGTGAAACAACTAAAATAGAACACACAAGTAAATATATACATGCATTTTAACTTATCAAAGCTAATATCCAAAATAATAGATTAAATATCAAATACACATGGTATTTTCGTATCGTCCAATGAGCCCGCTTGTCATTCAGCTTGAACGTAGCATGCGCATTATTTAGCGCTGCACCACAATACGTGAATTCAGAGTTGCCATATCAATTTTTTTTTATTTTATTTTGAATGCCTTACAGAAACTAATTTAAAAATATTTTAAAGAAAATTTACGTTTATTTAATAACATATAACATATAAGAGCCTAAATTAAATATATGGTAATGTTTTTTTAGAGCAGTCGTCCAGCAACAAATTTTATAAAAATTAGCTTGAAATTAATGCTCTGGTGCTTCCAATCTAAAAAAAGAGTGAAAAGAAACAAATTGTATTGGTTAATCTTGATACATAAAGAAAAATAGCATATATACATACTTATGTACTGTTATTAAGTGATTCGCATCGACTTTAGTATCTTGTGGGGTAAGAAAACAATACTGTCGGTTTGGAAAATCTGTGCCCTCCTGAATCAGCAGTTTAGTAATAAAAGTTCTGTTAACTTCGTCCTACAAATTTATACAAATTATTTAAAGGGACATTGTGTGAATAAAACGTGCAATGAACTTACAGTAAATACATCGTATTCGTCCAAGAAATAAAATGGATGATCGGAAGTGCTCCAAAGGCCCTTCAGTAGGGACACTGTGGTAAAGGACCTTTCGCCGCCGGACAAACTCCTCGTATTCGAAGTCTTGTTCCCGCTTGGCGGGAAGACACTGATCTGCAACGTTTTATCTTTATGATTCGGCTCCAGACTGCCTTCAAATTGGCGACATACAAGTGCTTGCTGCATGTTTAAAAAATGTATAAAGTAATAAATATTTAGATTTATTCAGTTGTTAAATTTAATAATCTTACCTTGAACTGAAACTGCACCATGGTAAAGAAATGATATCGCGATCGCTGAAATCGTTGTGCCCGAGTATGGTATTCGATGCGTAATTTCTCGACAACACATAAGATATTCTCCAAGTTTTCAGTTTCGATTTTAAGATTATCAAGCAAGGTGGATAACTTGTGTTCTACTTCCTCGCTGTTTAAATTCATCGATTCGTAATGTTTGATCTTTGCTTTATATCGATTTATTTTATCACGAATTCTCTCTTCAGATTTGTTTGTATCAATAAAGTCACCGACTTTCTGTGCCTCGCGGCGCTCCTTTTCTAAATCATCCTCCAAATCTTTTTTGTCTTTTAGCATTGATTTAAGTAGCTCGTTAGTTTGTTTAAAACGTCGTTGGTTTTCCTCATAATGTCGATCCAAATCACGAGCTTTACGTTGTAATTCCTGAGACGCCGTGTCAATTTCGCTTACTTTTTTATTAATTCCGTCGAGAATAATTTGTTCGCTTTTAGCTTCTTCGGCAGCTTGAGTTTTACGTTCGTCGATATCGCGCAGTTGACTTTCCAAGACTTTACGCTCCTCTTTACATTTCTCGATCTTCTCACCGCTGGTCGTCAAGTGAGTTTCCTAAAACGAAAACAAAACAAGATTAAATGATTTAAGGGGAAACTGCATCGGTGCAACTTACCAGCACATCAAGAGCGGGTAATTCCCGATATTCGAAATTCTCAATATCCATAATTCTTTGCAACGCTTTTGAGTTTTCTGTGTGATGTGCATTAATCATATTACTTTTAGTGCTTATCTCCTTTGCGTCACTGTCCAGCTTTTGCTTAGCCTTAGCATATACTGGTTGAAGGATTGCTGCACGCTCTCTTAGGCTTTCCTGCTCTGTCTTCAGCTGCCGAATGCGATCATCCACATTGACCTGAATGAAGCGCGCAGGCGTGATTTTAATGGAGTACATGGCATAGTTGGGCGATGGCGAATACTCCAGTCCCAAATTGGGCACCAATATGCGAGTTAAATTGGGTGGCACATTTTCCGAGTTCGACGTAAGCGATTCGGCTATCTCCTTGGAATCGGTGACCAAGACCGTCTCAATGCGCATTGTATCAATAAGATAGTTCATTACGACAGGATCATCGCATCTGTTAATAAAAACAACTGGTTACTTAAACGTTTTATGCTTAAACTCGTGAAAAACTCACCTAATCTCATCCATCAGCACGGTCGTATTTGAAGATCTGTTTTGCACTTTGTACTTGGATACGTTGTAAACCCGGTTAGAAAACGCACTCGTGATGATTGTAGGTATATTCCCACCTGCATAAGATTCTTGCAGCAGAGCTCTCAGAGATACTCGCTCCTTGTCGGTGCTAACAATATACGAGCGCAGACAGTGAGCCAGTTGATTCTCTATCAGATCTCGATACTTGGGATTCGGTACAGTTATGTACATGCCAATAGGTCCACGCGGCATTTTGTGCGCATTGCCGCCACTGTACTGAACACGCAATGCATTGGCCACTTGCATTGCGTGCTCACCATAAACGGACATTTTGTTTGACTTGTTGCGCAACAGCGATTCCATTTCCCATTGCAGGCTTTCTAAAATGATATCAGCAACCAAAGTAAGATTAATTTATGTTGATTGTTTAGACATTTTTACGTACGCTCAGTTTTTCGCAGTTTGCTCAGCTCATTTTTCACGGACTCTACCTGCTCTATCGTGGCAGGCATTCGGTTCTTTGTACTGTTCTGTTCGTCCCTGAGCCTGGAAATCAGCTCATTACTCTCAGCCACCTTTACTTTGAGAGTTGCCAGCGTAGCAGCGTTCTGTTCCCGAAGCCTTTTCACTTCCGAATAGTCTTCGTGATAGTTATTCATATGCCTCTGACAGCCATCGTAGGTAGTCTGTTCCTCCCTAAGACGTTTCTCTACATTTTTAATTCCTGCTTTAATTGAACTGGCTTTATAAAGACAATCTTGAATAGTTCGCTTGACGGCTCTTAGCCTTGTTTCCTGCGATTGGTGACTTTCCATAATTCGATGTTTGGTTTCCTCAATTTGCCTATGAGTAAGTTTTATTTAAAATATGTGAAATTAAGGTAATTGTTTTACCTACTCGAGCTGCTGAGCGAGTGCCAACTGTGTGCTATTCTTCTGGGTTGTTTTCTGCGACAGATCTGCGTTTTTCTTCTCAATTATTTTCAGTGTATGCTCCATTTTAGTCAGATCTTCCTGAATCTTGGTTACTTTCTGCCAAGCCAGCATGGTTGTAGCCTCTTTTAATTGAATCTACGTTATAGAAAATATGTTTTACTTTATAGTTCTGCACGAGATATGCCGTCATACCTTAATTGCCTCTTTATTTTTAATTAATGCCAACTTTTCCTCTTCCTCTTGGCACAGCTTTTTCAACTTTTCCTTTTTCTGCGCAGTTAAAGTAATTATTTATTTATAGCTTTTCTGATTTTAAATGAAGATTTACCTTTTTAAGCAGCTCCAGATCATAATTAATATGCTCGCGCTGCTCGTGGCATTGAGTCAAGCTGGCCGCGCATAAATCCAGCTGTGTCGCCTTCATAAGCAATTTATAGTTCGATGCAGGTTCTAGGCTGTTGGATGGGGTTTCAAGTTTTAAATTAAATTCTAAGATTTGCAATTAAGTACACCCACTCTTTGAGAAATTCGCGCGAAGCTTCCTGATTGAGCACAAAGATCGGATTCTCAACACTTATGCCAAAATAAAGCAGCAGGCGTCGTATTTCGTCCAGTTTCTTGGAAACGCATCTGTTCTGAGCGTCTCTCATCTCATACGTCGAGGATGATTGGCGTATTTGGCGTACAACCGTAATGTGTGGACCATAAACGTCGTACTTGAATGGCCGCAGTCCCGTATTGCATAGGGTTAGCTCAATGGATGAATTTGTCTCCCCGTTCTTAATGAGCTCTGAAAAAAGATAATGTTAAGTTTAATAGTGTATTCCTCTTGGATAAACGATTGGGCAACTTACTCTGTATGCTGCTGGCGCGACTTGTGTTGCGTGCACTGCCGGCAAGCCCTAATGCAAGGGCAGTGATCACGGCACTTTTGCCGCTACCATTGCTGCCAACAAGAAAATTGATATGTGGCCCAAAGTTTATGTATAAATTCGAGTGGCACATAAAATTTCGTAAACGTATGGAAATAATTTTTCCGCAACGCTGGAATACGTTTCGAGCTGTCAGTCCGTGCTTTAATTAGTAAACTTATATTAATTTTATTTTAAACAGAATTCAGAATAATTACCGAGGGATTCTCGAAGGAAGAGCTTGCATTCGCTGTTGCGCGCCTGTGAACCGCGCGCGAAGTAGATGCTTCCACAATCATTCCATCCTCTTCGCTAGTTTCTGCGCTACGCCTGGATTTCTTTCTTTTCGGAGGCGTAGGCGAAACGTCACTCTCTGATCCTGAGGACAATTGTTTCTTTCGAAGTCTACTGCGACCCATCTTTGGTTTGTCTACATATGTATAAACATAACTTCGCATTTACATTAGTCTGTTTACAAACGGTATTACAATAAAATGCGCGGGCATTTTTGTTTACCAGCTTTGCTAGGCATATTTAGATGTATTAATTCCAATTAAATTTTTTTTATACTTACGTTGTATTAGATTAGCTTTTTAATCGTTGTAATCTATTCGAATTAACTTCGTGTTTTAATTTTATATACATTTCATAAAACAGCACTAAAAATATTCCAACATTTTGCACATCGAGTGTGACCAATCTTGAATATGATGATAATACTGACAATGCGCGTGCGCTCTGTATATAGCACGAAATACTTAAACATTTCAGTATATTTTAATTAAAGCTGGCTTCCGTTTTTTTTTTTAAATTTGCTTATCGTATCAGTTTTGAATTCATGCAGATCGAATGAACAAACATTTGTACCCCAAATTTAATTTTTGATCATACAACTTTGGTCCTCATTTATCAACCTATACACTTAACGAAAAATAGAAACAATTTTCCATGCAGAGCTCCCTAAATTAGTTTAAAGCCGGTGAATGCAGTTTTATATAGAAACAAAAACATGATTATATTTATTAATATTATTTGTAGTTTACATTATTTACAATGTAAGTCGGTTACTGCCACTCACATCATTTTCTTATAGGGGAATTCTTCGCCTATAGCATTTTGCTGCCTCAGCTTATTCTGTATTTCACGCCAAGTAGCTGATTTCTGTGATAGAATCTTCATATTGCCAATGATATAGAGGCCATAGCGAGCGCGGGACATGGCGACACAAATACGATTCTGTTCAGACAGAAATCCAATATTTCCATGTGTGTTACTGCGCACCAACGAGAGCACAACTATATCTGCCTCCAGACCCTGGAAACTATCAACAGTGGTAATGCCAACATCTTTTAAATGCTTTCTCTTAGATAACTGCAAAGTAGAAGGGCTTATACATCATATCACCAGCTAATTAGTTTGCCAAGCCTTACTCTCTTTTTAATTGATTCGACCTGCATGGTGTAGGGTGAGAGCACGACAATCTCCTTGCCCTTGTAGCCGCCGACGTCTATCAAATGGCTCACTATTTCAGACACTTTTTGCGTTTCCCAATCATTGCAAAGAAAGCCATCGTAGATATGTGTCTCAGGCTCCTGATGTTGAAGAAAATAAAGGTTCTTCGTCATATTGCGAACAGGGGGAAAATTATACACCGACTCGTGACTAAAGAGCTTCTGATATATCAGGGGACACAGCAATTCCGCAAAAGTATTACGCATACGGTATTGAATATTCAGTACGTTCACATGGAAATTTGAGCGTATCAAACGCTCAAATAAGGATTGACAGATAGCTGAATATTTCAGGCCCTTAATATAGCTTATATATGGCTTAAGCTGCATGTGGTCGCCAATCATAATCACGTGCTCTGTATAGGGTGTTAGGCAGGGCAATATGTGCGCCTCCAAAATTTCTGCAGCTTCCTCGAAAATGACTAAAATGAAACCAATTTAATATATAATTGTGCTGATTTTGATTCACTTACCAATGCGACTTTTCAGAAAGCGAAAGACAAAATTCATACGCGCAGCGCACGTGGTAGTCATCGCCAGCACGTTCTTTTTAACAATTAAATAGTGCTGGAATATCATCCGTATGGAGTTGAGTTTCTCTTGCGCATTCCACACGAGGCGCTGCGTCGCCAAAATATCCGAATAGGCCTTATCGGTATCATTGAAGGAGGCATACAGTGTCTGTAGGCGCTTGAAATGCTCCTTGATCTCCAGATTTACCATCCAGTACAGACGCTTTAGTCTAGGATTTATCATGTGCATGTTTGTATCGGCACGTGCATTAAACCTGGCAATTTCTGGCAGTCTCGACTGACAGCCAAAGCGTACAATGCTGCTGGTGAAAGAGCTTAGCTTTAGCAGAAACTTATCCAGCGAATCGTTGGTGTATGTAATCACAACAATGGGCGCACAGAATTTGGCATGCTCCAACATGGTCTTTATCAGCTGCAACGATAGATGCGTCTTGCCCGTTCCGGGCGGACCTTGGATTAGATTAAAGTTCGTATTCAGCACACTTTGGAATGCATCGTGCTGCGATAGATTCAGCGGCATTTTGCGCAATTTGTTCACAAACTTTTGACTTTCGTAGACATTCGGCGGCTGTGTGTGATTCAAATATGCTGGCGGCTGCGTCCTCGTCAGTCCATGTACTACATAATCGGACATCGGAAAGTTGATAACATTGCTGTTGGTTAGGTAGATGTACGCTTTCTGGTAGGGCTCAAAGTAGACGGGAGTTTCGAACATGATCAACGATTTACCATAAATGTTGCCTATATTAAACTGCCGCACTATCGTGATGGCAATCTGAAAGACAGCGAATACATCAAGCCAAAAATATCTAGTTTAATTTAATGTACACTCACGTAGCCCCGGCGCAGCTGCTTTATATCAGTGCCAGCCACAGTCGCCAGTATAAGATTATCGAAATCGTAGCTTGTAGTGAAACAAAGTAGTGCACCACTTTTGAGCTTTAGCAGAGACTCCTCTTCAGAGTTACCGAATTGGATATCGTGATCGGCTGCTGTTTTGCGCTGCGCAGCCAAAAGATCAACAAATAGCAGCTTGCTGCTATGGGCGTCCGGAAAGTGCATATTCAGCTTGATCTGTACCTCCTCATAGGCTATTTGAAGCGGCATCATATTCTGCATGCTGCGCTTTCGATGGAGAACGCGCACCAATTCGCGAAGCGGCAGCAAAAACTGCTGACGCAAAAACAAGCGTTGGCTATTTATGTACTGCGTGGTGCTTTTGTAGCTGATCGTTAGCTTCGGTTTATGTATATAGGCATCCTCGTGCTGCTTGAGCCACAGCTTGAGCTCCTCCAGGCTGGGATATAGCTAAAAATCATTCAAATTAGATACGGCTTGAATTCTATGAAAAGCTTACCTCGGCGGCAGGATTCGGTTCAGCCAACACATCCTGATCTACGCTAAACAGACCGTGCAACTGATGCAGAAACTCTATGCAAATCGGACGCTCTTCTATGAACGGGTTTTGGTTGTTTTTCAAGTGCGTCCAAATATTAAAAAGTATCTGCATGCCATTGTTGTCCATAACGCCAGCGCGCTGAGCCTGCAGCAATAGCGTCTGCATATAGCTAATAATGCTATCGACGCGCTTCATATCGGTCCACATGGTGCGGAAGCTTTTCGTGCACAGTTTTCGCACCAACTCCTCATAGTGCTCGATGAGTGGAGTGCACGCCGCAAACTTGCTTAGCATATCATAGTGAAAGCCCGGCAGCTCCAGTTCACATAAAGTGACCAGGATGCGCGTATAGATTAGCACGCGCTCCATGTCGTCGTGCGGCCCAATTTGATTGACAAAAAAGTTTGGTTCTACTTCGGTGGCCAAGTAGAGAAACATGCCCAGAGGCTGTAGATTAAAAATCTCCTGAAGACCATCGGTTGGAATTTTAGACGGCGCCGCCGCCTTGGCACGGTTCCAGTAGTTATATCGCCTGTTTCTCTGCACCTGACGTCCATCGGTGGCTTTTTTGCGAGCTAAGCTGCGCAATATTTTCTCTTTATCAGCCTGAAACCATTCCCAACAGTCGTAATCTTCTCCAAAAAGCTCAACCATAATGTTTCAGACAGTATAAATTTCCTGTTATTCCCCTGTTTAGAAACGGGATAGAAGAGCGAACAATGATATCATAAGTAAATGGTATTTATGAGGTGCCGAAAAATATATGTATTTGCTTTAATTACTTGGACACGTGGACTGGCTGAACGATGAGCTGTTAGTTGCTGTACTATTATATATAATAAACAATTTTTAAATACAAAAGCTTATCAAAATGCAACCTATTTATTTCGCGCACAAATCAAAGAACGCCATAAGCACCGCAAAGTGTGGCCAGCTCAACAATACCGAATGAAGCAAAATATTGCTTTTGGCCAAATCAGTGCGCAGAATTATTCTATTTGTAAATGCAAGATCAAATCTGCAGTTTATTTAAAAACTTGATTTCTTAGATTGAGTAAAAGTTCAAGAACTGCTATTAAATAAAATGACAAATTCAGTAGAAAAGTTAATTCTGAAAAGCTACTATCGCCCGCATCAACTACTTAAAAAATACTTCCTATCAGTTACTAGCACTAAAATCTTGCACATCGCTAATACCTACACAAAGCAAAGGCTTTTGGCAACTCTAACCATGCATTTATGAAACGGTACTTTCATTACATTTGCGGAACGCAAACGCAACGCAAGTAAAGAATTTCACCATGTCGGACTCGGATGATGATTGGTTTAATAAGGATGAGGATGAGCTGGTACAAAATCTGCAGCAACAGGTGAAGCAACAAGTGGAAAATGAGACACATGAGGAACGCATTGAGTTTTGCAGCAGAGCTGGTAAGCAAAAAATATGCGGGTTTTATTATAGAATGCAATTTCTAATAACAACATTAGATGATTATCTCAAGCAACTTAGGCTAGAAACTAATGAGGATACGAAAAGTCCGAGTCGCTTTACCACTGCCGATTTTGCAAAGGCCCTGAAAATGACGCCGCTGGAAATGTTTCTCTACTTAATGTCCGCGCCGCGTGATCTCTTCCAGGGTCAGCTGACGGACAGTGATTCCCAAAAACGAGTGATGCAGTATATCGAAGTGCTGACGGTACTGTGTCAATTGGAATTGGGCGGCTTCGACCGGCAGCTACTGTCTGGTTTTGCCAAGCAAACTGTGCTCCTCAATCACGTGAAGCGCTTTTCTGTGAAACTCTTTGCGCCGCCTTCCAAGGGCACATTAGATGCCGACTCCGAGCTGATGTTGCGCGGCATAAAGTGTTTGCTTATACGTGCACACAAGCTGGGCGTACTGGAACCGTCCGGCTATGAGCTAATCGAGCATTTTAAGACGCTGCTCGCCCGGTGTCAGCTGCCTCAGCTCTTGAACCATCCGCTGTGCGTTGAATTCATCCGAGAGTTGGATGTGCTGCCAGCCAGTACACACGTAAAGAACGAAATATATCCCAAGCTGGACCAATTACTACGAGCTGATGCAGGCGATACGGCCGCCAATACTGTGCCTGCAGTCGCCTTCGATGACGTGGCTGGCTACATAAATTGCCAGCGGCAGCTGCTTTGCGATGACTTTGTGCAGCCATTGCGTGAGCTCGTGCAGCGTTTGCGTTCCAAGAGCAATATCGATGCCTTGGTGGAACAAAATCTGATTTGGCCGCACACACAGCTCAACCTGAACCCG